GCTCAAGAACAGTGCGCAGAGAGCTTCATGGAATGGGTTTCCATGGTCGAGCAGCTGCATCCAAGCCATACATCACCAAGTGCAATGCAAAGCGTCGGATGCGGTGGTGTAAAGCACGCCGCCACTGGACTCTAGAGCAGTGGAGACGCGTTCTCTGGAGTGACGAATCGCGCTTCTCCATCTGGCAATCTGATGGACGGGTCTGGGTTTGGCGGTTGCCAGGAGAACGGTACTTGTCTGACTGCATTGTGCCAAGTGTAAAGTTTGGTGGAGGGGGGATTATGGTGTGAGGTTGTTTTTCAGGAGCTGGGCTTGGCCCCTTAGTTCCAGTGAAAGGAACTCTGAATGCTTCAGCATACCAAGACATTTTGGACAATTCCATGCTCCCAACTTTGTGGGAACAGTTTGGAGCTGGCCCCTTCCTCTTCCAACATGACTGTGCACCAGTGCACAAAGCAAGGTCCATAAAGACATGGATGACAGAGTCTGGTGTGGATGAACTTGACTGGCCTGCACAGAGTCCTGACCTCAACCCGATAGAACACCTTTGGGATGAATTAGAGCGGAGACTGAGAGCCAGGCCTTCTCGTCCAACATCAGTGTGCGACCTCACAAATGCGCTTCTGGAAGAATGGTCAAAAATTCCCATAAACACACTCCTAAACCTTGTGGACAGCCTTCCCAGAAGAGTTGAAGCTGTTCTAGCTGCAAAGGGTGGACCGACGTCATATTGAACCCTATGGATTAGGAACGGGATGTCACTTAAGCTCATATGTGAGTCAAGGCAGGTGAGCAAATACTTTTGGCAATATAGTGTATTTAAGTTTAACTTAAAGTATTTAGCCTTAGTTGTAAGACTCATGTTGAAAAGGGTTTTAGTACTCTTGATAACATCTAGCCAGCTGAATTAGGGGAGATTGAATTAAACACAATGCTTGGTAACAACAAACTCACCTGTTTATTAAGAGATAAACACAAACTGGACAAAATTATGAATAGCAACCTAATATTGCACAGTGAGCAGTAAAACCGTAAACAGTTAAAGGTGCTATATTACTGTAAGTTTTAATAAAAATGCAAAACAGACAGGAGTGGAAAATAGTCTATTAACTTAGAATCAGGACTCTACTCTTGAAAAAAGACACTGTTAAAAAAAATCTGTGCAAATAATAGTTAAACAAAAATGCCTTATACTCCCCAATGTCCTCCACACCTAGTCTCCATCTACACATCGTGCAGGATAAACATTTTCCCCGCTATCTTGCAATTCACCTGTTTTAATGGTTAGGCCGGGAGACAAACCCAAAAAGACCTGTGGGTGTGTTGAAGGTGTTCTGGAAAATACGGACCGGATTCGGGGAACACTGGCGCAAAATAGTGGAATGGATTGTTTCAAACGGCGAAACTGGAAAATACGGACCAGATTTTTTTTTTTTTTAAACTGGATCGGCAGTCTGGATCGGCATTTTTACATTCTTTGCCGATACACATTTTTTTGCCAATATCGGCGTCCGATCCGATACATGGATCGGATCGGGACAAGCCTAAAATATGGATCCAGGCTCAAAATGAGCACCTTGATATGCGCTTGAGAATGGATTTGTCTCCATTCAAACCAGGTTTAAAGCTTTGCAGGGCAGCCTAAAGCCCACTGTTCTCATTAAGCCAGAAAAAAGAAAGAAAAAATAACAAATGGTCAGTTCAGGTGTTTTTAAAAATATGTGAAACAGGAAATTGTCTATATACTAAACTGAAAGATTGTTTTTCTCTACTTCAAAAATCACTTTAGATTTTAAATTGGGAAAAAATCTTTTTATGTTTTTTTATTTAAAAATTCAATATATAAGATGAATGCATAATGCTAATTTTATTTAGTAGTGTTAAATTCTGTTTCTGTTTACTGATTATGATTAAAAATGTCTCTGGACCTTTACTGTTTTTTTTTTGTTTTTTTTTATCTTAATTGTTTACCCCTGGTGTAGATTGACCCTGAGGTTCTGGTGCCTATCCATTTTGGCCACCCTTATAAAAATGTTCTAGCTACGCCTCTGATGATGCAGAACTTGTGACTTTAAGTCATAACAAACTAAATCAATATACAGAAAACTTTAATTAAAAAATGTCCCCTTCACCTTTTTTTACATTGTCCCAAAAAAACAAAAGCAGATTTATGCTGTAACTGATTGCTCATACCAATAAAGTTTATAAGCTTGTTTTAAGTTATTTAAACTAATCACATCCTCCTTATGTGAAAATAACAGTTTGATGATATTTCTGCTTGATGAGGAGGAAATGATCTGATCCCTGTGGGGTTGCTTACATTGCTGGTGCTGTTTTGCAGCGCTGCCTCCACTCCACGGAGATCCGTGCATGTCCGCTCATTCAGCCCAGCGCTGCGCCTCGTCAGCTCCCTCCTCTCCAAGCTATGTGGCTCCCCAGCATCCCCGGCCTCTTCACGCAGCCTCCTGACACGGGACAAGCCGTCTCCCTCCTGCAGATGTCTGCCCAGCGCGGACGAAAACAACCCGAAGACCAAAATCCTGCAGATCATGATGATTACGAAACAAAAAGTTGCAGCGCGCAGCCTGAGAAGCTGAGAAAACTCTGCCGTCCCACCGCTTGGCTTCACATGTCCCCCCAAAGCGTTCTCAATAACGGCCCATTTGCCGCAGCACGGGATTGGTCAAACCCAGAACAAGCTGAAATTTGATTGGACGAGAGCTCTGCCGGGGAGGTGGCTTACTTTGGGAGTTAGCCTGCCCCCTGGTGGAAAGCCCGCAAACAGCCAGGAGGACAATCCATTAAAGGAGGATTTATTCTGTGAATCTGCTTGTTGTTCCAAGAAGCTTTAAGAGGCCAAAAGAAATGGCCTTACACAAGTTGATTGTTTTCATTGCTAAACAGCCGAGTAAATGAAAAAAAAAAAAAGGTTTACGAGTCCTCGGAAAACATAGCAGTGGCAATGAAAGAGAGAGATATTTTTATGTAATAATTCATCCACATAAAGGAACAGTGATGATGTAAGCAAACCACTCATTCCTGTTTTTGCTGTGTAATGACAAAGATAATTTGTTTTAAACTCAGTGTCAGCGAAAGAGAACAATTTTGATTAACAATATCTTTAAAATTACCCTACTGAGCACAACAGCCTATTTACTTTTTTACTTTGCAAAGGATAAGGTCAAATAAACTGTTAAAAATAATTTAAGAGGCACTTTAGATTTGCAAGAAAAAGGGTCCCTGTCCAATAAAGAACTTTAGTGTCACTATTTTTAGTCATCAGCTATTTTTGCATATTTATTTTTGCTGAACCTAACCTTTAATTTTTGCACCATGACTTTAAACTGGTTTTCCTTTTCTTCTACACTGTTTATATTCTGATCACTGCTGCACTTTATAAATGGTGATGGTGATTTCAATTGTAAGTTGTAAGCATCAAAATTTTGTTTTGTATACGCTCTGTTTAAACAAAATGACCAAGTTTGTTTAAGTCTGTTTTTTGTTTCACGTACCAAAAATACGTAGTTAGTAGTTTTGTAACTGAATTACCAACATATGTAATGCTGTAGCACACATTACAGTGGGAATGTTCAGCTCGTTAAACTGTACATTACTTTGACCTTTTTTTCTTATGGGAACATTTTAGGGAGGCTTCAGACACAAGCATTTTAACTGCAAAAGAGGAAGAGACTCACTATAAATCAGAACCGATCTGCAAAGAGTACTGATCCTGAGGCAGCTGGACACCTTTAACTGTTAAAAACACCTTTCTGGTCTATATTTGGTAGAATATGCAGCTTCGATTCATATGATAGTGATGTACTCATACCTGAAACATCCTCTAAATATTTGAGCAGTTATTAAGCTGACTAGATCAGCAAACTTTAAAACTTGTGATTTTATAGTGTGTGGTAATAATTTGTCTTATTTATAATTCTAAATATTCTCTTTCCTCAGTAAATAAATGGGGATGCAATTGTTTGATCTGTGACCCCAAAATCTCAACACAGTATGAGCTAATATGGAGCTATAAGGAATACACACTGAATTTGTATTATGGAATTAGTTGATCACTCTGGGTTTAGATACTTTACTCTTATGTGATTTCCAACTAACTTTGGGGCCTTTAACACCTAGAAATGTATTTTCATATACTATTTCAAAGTTATTCATCTTAAATTATATACGTTTCTAAGTTTTACAGTAGTTTTAATTATAGATTCAGTGACAAAACCATCTTTTTAAAGTCTCCATTTCTTATTCCATAGTTCCCAGAGGATACTACTATGTTTAACCAGTGCAAAATAAATTAATGCTGCAGTTTAACTTTATTTTTAATCTAGCTCAGTTAAATATATATGGTAGGGAACAAAAAAAAAGTTTGTATTTTGTATATATGAAGGTCAATATATTTTTTTGTCAAAAGCAGAAGAAATGTTTGCATAATGAACGTGTATTGATCCAGGCAGTCTGGGACTGTTAGGTGTTCATCAGAGCAAAGGGCCTGGGTTTGAAACCATCTGTGCGACAGCTGGTTTATCTTTCCAAAACTTTAATTAGAATCTTATTTTTTAAACATCACATAGAAATAAACAAAATTAACTGAAAGGTTATTTAATGAGAATCTTAAACAGGCTTAGCTCCAATTAAAATTTTCACTTTAGCTGAAGTGAAGTTAGACAGAACTTCAAACCTAATTGCACAGAATCAATCTTCAAAAATCTGTTAGTATTAATCTGAATGCAGAATAGTATTTGCATGTTTGCATTGATTTTAATGACAGCCAAAATCCATTAACCTCTCCTATCCTATATATTTCATATCACTATAAATCCTGCTGTTTTATCAACAAAAATAAAAACATCAGTCACTTTCTGATAAGTTTTTATTATAGTATTGATCCGTAACAAAACACATCCCTCCCCAGCCCACATTTATCTCCCCCCCTCACTCAGCTGCGGGTGATGATCACTCTCCTTCAACAGAGCTGCTCAGACAGTTAGACAAGAGGCAAATTGGAACATTGCAAATAGAAACCTTTGAAAAGAAAATCTGAATGCTGCAGGTGGTTGGAAAGTTGTAGTCAGTGACATGAATGCATCCCCTTCTTTTCAGCTCAGAACTTCAACCGAGAGTTTTCTACACTAGATGTCCTTGATTACATCCTCCAGTTCCTCTTTGGTGTACATGTGGAAGGTCTTACCGGGCTCTACCGTGGCCAGCTGGAAGGAAGAACATAAAAACCTCAGCAGTCTCACACAAGGAAACATTACAGAAATAAAAAGTAGCTGAGAGTTCAGGAAGTACTAACCTCAATGTTGGTGGCGTTGAGCTTCTCTTCCATCACCTGCTTCAGGATGGTCAGAGAGGACTTGATGGCGTCTTTTAATGTCATGGACTGCAATTTACAGAAAAGGAAACAAAAACGAGCTTTATTTAGCAGCAATTAGCCACGTTTGCAAAATTACTGGACATCAAACCTAAAGGTTGAACCATCATCTTAAACTAAAAATGTAAACCAAAAGCAAAGATTATCTGCACCGATATAAACATTTAAATTTTGTACCATTTAATAACCACACATTGTTTTACAGGAGTTTTATGTGAAAGATAAAGTTGCAAATAATTATGAGGTTTGGTGGAAAACCATTAACTTTTTTCAACAAGTGTGCCACCTTGGGCCTTAAAAAGCTATTTTTACAATATTTTGTGGTATGAGATTGACAAAATTGAAGTTAAAACACTCTTGATTAATTCATCATTTTAGTCCTTCTCGGTAGGGCTGCAACTAAAAATTATTTTGAAAATCATTCAATCGGTCAATTACTTTTTTTAATGAATCAATTAATAATCGAATAGCCAAAGGTTCATTAAAGAAGACTTTTTATGATATTAGACCAAGTGAAATAAAAACTTTTCCACTTAAATTCTCGATAAAGCACATTGACAAACATTTCTTTTATCTTAAATGCAAAACGTTTAAATTGTTTTTTTTTTTACAATTACGATATAATTACTGCTCCAAGTGGGTTGCTCTGTCAGCTAAAGGCTATTTTTTTAGTCTCTACACTCCATTTAAACGATTCATGGATTAATAAATGAGTTGATGTTTATTTAAATAATCGATTAATCACGATTAATACGTTTTTTTGTTTCAGCCCTAGTTTTTAGATAAGCTGTAAATGCATTTCATAGCAGTCAGAGTCCCACAAACATTACTGCTGAAAACGTACAAATTTAAAATTGGCTTCCTCATGACACCATTTAAAAATACTGTGATTTAAATCCCTAAATATCCCATAGCAACAGCATCAAACCATATTCTTTATATTTGCCATTGCCCAATTGATAAAAATTGAAAGATGATAAAGATAAAAAAAAATCTGAATTCAAAGTTTTTTAAATCATCAATAATCGAAATTATTTTGTTTGACAATAAATCTAAATTGTTATTATCACTAGAAATGTATCGTGATAAAGCATTACGATAAATAACCACCCATTTCGTTTTTTTGTTGGCTCTCAAATCTGCACCCTCTTTTGCTGAAATGCACCAGGAGCATTTGTAAACGTTAAATACAATTTCAATTCTGCAGCACCTTTCACAGTAAAGGGCAGATAAGACTTCTGCAACCGCAGACATCAAATGTCGCTTGGGTCTGGTCACCAACCAGTTTTGCTGGTATGCTTCTGCAACAACGTTCTAGAATTTCTAGGGACGCACAGCAGTTTCCTGCCAAAGCGCAATGGGGAGCCTATTCGAGAAGTAGCAAGAACTTCGGTGGATGGTCCCGTGAACTACGGCGGCGCCGGTGGGAGTGTTTATCTTCCAAAAGAACAATGGCGCGTCTGCAAGATATTGCAGAGATGGATCTAGAGTTTCTAGATATTGAAGAGGAACAGGTAATGTTGATAGGGTTGACAAAAAAGGCAGGTTAACCTTTCGTCATAGTTGTCCATTGTAGTTCCTCGGAACCGAGAAGGACGACCACACAGACAGCCGGAAAGGCATACCAAGGACCAATCGCAGCTGCTTTTTGTCTGCGCACTTCACTTGTTTGCGACTGTCCGACGCGTATTCAGGATTTTCTTGAGGTACGCAGCGACGCTTGCAGAACCTCTGCATGGGGGGCGTGGTGGCGCACAGAGACAGATTTGAAGGTTGCAGAGGCTATGCGTCAGAAGCATAAATTGGCCTTTACTGACATCGCAAAGCGCTGCACAAGAATAAAAGCAATATTAAACACAAACCATGCTCAAGAAAATGCCTTGTCAATTAAAAACGCCTTAAGATGTTTCTTTAAAGTGGATTCTGTGCAGTGCAGAGACAGTAGGAAAGTTTTCCAAATTCACAGCCACTATCTGAAAAGCACGACCACCGCAAGTTTTAAAACGGATACGAGGTTGAACCGGAAAACTTAAAAGTTTTAAAAGATCCTGTATTAGATTAATTCAGGTAACCAGTGCAGGGAGGACAGAGCAGGGGTAATAATTGCCTTTCTATTAGTTTTATTCATCAGCCTTCTGCACAGGCTGAAGATGGGCCAAGAAGGATTTGTTCAAAGAGTTAAAAAGACTATACAACAGGGAGAAATAAACGATTAAACAATCTAGTTCAGTGTGTAACAAGAACAGGTAATCTTGAGATGTTCCCTGAATGATAAAAGCAGCTATGAACTAGTTCTCAAATGATAAAGAAACGATCAAATCACACCAAGGTTGTTATTTGGATAGTGAGATCAGACAGCTTATACAACTCAGATGGTCGCAGCAACAATACAGCTGGATATCATCTGCATATAGATGGTGTTAAACAGTTTGGTAACTTTCAAGGATACACATCTAATGAAGATAGAATCAGAACCAAAAGTGAACCCTTAGTTTCTCCACAAGACAGAGATAAACTATCAGAGCAAATGTGGTTCATCAAAACAGTAAAACGCTTGTCTGATAAGTATGAAGAGAACCAGTTTAACACAGAAACACCAAACAAGTTTCTAATTCTGTGAATAAGGACAGTATGATCTAACGTGACAAAAGCTAATGTCATGATTAACATTTATCAACTGGAATTAGGCTGAACCTAGACTATACGATAACATAGCAGTACCCTTTGATATCAAAACTCTAGCTGTATGTTTAGGACCCTTGCGCTGCCTAAAGATCAACTTCATCTCAGTTTTCAAGTGTTTGTGTCCAGTTTCCCTACCCCTGCTGACAGAAACCTTAATCCAGTTCATTCAAATTTAGAAAACAATTTAAAGATTAATTGAAAGTTCTTTACTGCCATTAATTACCATCAAATCTTTTGCAGGTTCCATTTTTTTTTTTGCCCAGAAAGTGTGACTCTAGGAGTTTGGCATGTAGGACAAACAAAATGAAACATTTGGAGATAACAACAATATGGATGTTGAGCAGAATCCAGTCAACGAAAAATTCCTACAATTCCTGCCCTATATTTTCAAACCTGACGCTTCATCCGAAGAGGAAAGTTTTTAGTCTTTTTTAGGCCAAGGATTATGATATTTAAAGCCTACTAAATCGCTTTAGTGATTTTGCATTAAGGCTGGTTTATACTGAGAAACAAGTGTGTGTCGCAGTGAATGCAAATGTATATCTGTGTCATACCTTTGACAAGCTCACTGTGACACACTGCTGCGGGAGTATAACCAGCCCTTTAGGGTTTTATGAAGCCAGAACCAAAAATGATGATTATTTTAAATCAATTTTGCAACTGAGATTTAATTTCAATGTTCCTTTGCACTGACCAAAATCATGTAAATGTTTCACTATGGTATTTTTGTTTTTTTCATGACCATATAAAGGTTCTTGTTTAGAGCTCATTTTTGCAGGACTTTACTGTATCCTTTGTGTGAAAAAGTGCTAAATTGTACTTTGATACATGAATTTACATGCTAGGTACATCTATGGTTTTATCACTGTCATATTCATCATGTATAAGGAGAAAGAAAAAGCAATATCGACCAAAACAATCACCTTCCAAAACAAATTATGGACAGCACATATTAATCAGAGATTGATTGAACCCCCAGATGTTTGTTTCAAATATTTGGAAACCATTTGCTGTTCCTTATGCAACACAGTTATGTTTTCCTTAAAATATAGAGGGTATTTAGAGCAATTTGTAGCTGGAGCACAGAGGCACGTTAGTGTACAATTGATGGGTCTTTTATTTGCATCTGACATGAAATGTGCTTAGGAGGATGGACCTCCATGTTGCTTAAATATAAGCACTCCAACTACGGGTTGCTCTGGTGGGAGCGGACATACTGAAAGCCTCCTGGATAAGTGCAGTAACGTGTTCAGAAAAACCAAAGAAAAGTGCAGTTGCCTCCAGTTTAAGGCTACGTTCACACTGCAGCCTGAAGTGATCCAAGTCTGATTTTTTGGCCCATATGTGACCTGGATCTGATCTTTTCATGACAGTCTGAACACAGATCTGATTTTTTCCAATGTGACCCAGGCCACTAGGCTATGTGGTCCTGAATCCAATACGAATCTGATCTTTTCAAATGTGACCTATGTCTGAACGGCCAGGTGGGATTCATCCGACCTGAACGCCATTAATACCCAACAAAGGTCACTATTCTGGATCTTGCTATGAAGAAGCTGCAAAAAAAAACAACCACCATGGCGGATGATGATGTGGAGAGCAGTATTTATGTTTAACCATCCTGAAAAGTTTGTGTTTTTATGGTTGGGAAAGAGCACTAGATGTTCTCCGGCACTACCATCCATGTTTACTTCCGTATAGGCACGCTGGCCTGTGACGTCATTGCGTCCTCTACTGCACATGGGGGACTCTTTCGTTGTATGACTGCAGTTCACACAGGAGATCACATGTATTTGGTAATGTGAACAGCAATGCAAAATAATCGTATTTCGCCAAAAAAATTGGAATTTAGCATCAAGGCCTGCAGTATGAATGTAGCCCAAGTCTGTTTTGTGATAGTCATTGTTTTTCAAATATAATTTTGACAAAAAACAAACAATCCGAGGACTTCAAGAAGAAGACAAACAGTCCCAATACCTTGTGGTAAACCTCCTGCAGAGAGCTTTGTGCTCCCTCTGAAGCAGAACCGATGGCTCGAGCGTCACACTGCACAAAGGTTCCTGAAGGGTCCATGTGGTACCTGTGTTACAAGAGAGAGGATAAAAGGAGCAAACAAAACTACATAAAAGGAAAAAAACGGTGAAAAAAAAAAAAAACAGAGGTTGCAAAGTAATGTGGCTTCATACAGTTGTGGTCCTTTTTCATCCACTCCCCCAAACAGCAAAGCAACACCAAAGGGTCGGCTCTGAATAAAACACAGAAGAATCAACAAGAGGCAGTTACATACACCTTATATTGCTCCATCCATCAGCACTGATGAAAAGAACTGGAGATGGTTGAAGGGACTGACCATAGCACCGGGGTCTGCGTCCTCCTCTCCAAACTGCAGCGCCAGGTTGGAAACAGCCTGAGTCACACTTTCAACCGTCATCGTCTCATTGTAGGTGAACCAGTGGTTCTGCAATAGACATGGATGACATAATTAACCTGAATTAAACAGTCAGTCCACGGTTTATCAAACTACAGCTTAAAAAACAAAAAAAAAAACATACCTGTGTTTCCACTCTTGCTTTGTCAATCAGAGTCTTGGCATCAGCTATTAACCCACTCATGGCACAACCTAAAGTGCAAACAATAAAAAATTTTAAAAAAGGAGGATGTGAATATTTTCTATGCTTTTCTTCCAACAGAAACTAATATTTAGAAGAAGTTGCTTGGATAAATAATAAAAAGACGGCACTAACTCAGTTATAAGATGGTTTATTTAAACAGTATCCTACTTGACAGTAGTACTTTTTCTCACCAATAAAAATGTATTTTGGTTGTAATTGTTTCAAAATAATAGAAGTAATACTCCATAAAGTCTTGTTTCCACCAAAACCACAGAACCGACTATATATAACTGACTATATATACCTCAGCGGTGTTCCCCAAAGCGCTCTCTCAGGCCAATGTAATGTTTATCTACCTCTTGGTAACATGTTAAAGGAATAGTACACCCAAAACATGATTAGCCTTCATTTTCTACTCACCCCCATGCTGAACAACACTCTGGAGTACTTTTTTGATATCTCAAATGCATCTGGAGATCTGGGAGGCTTCTTGCTTTCTGCTGACATTCAAATAATGGAGGTCTACGGTGCCCGAGATAGAAAGGTCCATAAAAGTCCACAAAAACGTGTCAATATTCCTCCATACTGCTCGTCCAATGTATTCCAAGTGTCCTGAGTGGGTAGCATCCAGAATTTACTCGAAACGAAGTCATTTAGAATGTTTTTAGAGCATAAACAGTAGTGTATAGGATTTCCTGAAAGCGTGCGCCAGCGCGTTCAGGACGCTACGGAAGCCGGCAGACCAAACCAGATGAAAGTGCGCATTCAGCGTCTGCTCTGCCGATAATGCAAGCGTAGAAGAAGAAATGTGCTGTTTACCTGTGCAAAGAAAGAAACAACGAAAGAAAAATGTCTGAGGACTTCAGTGTTGAGGAAGAGCATGAGTTCTTTGCCGAGCTGAATGCGCACTTTCATTTGGTTTGGTCTGCCGCGGTTTCCGTAGGCTCGTGAACGCACTTTTAGGAATTACTATACACTACTGTTTATGTTCTAAAAACATTCTAAATTACTTCGTTTCGAGTAAATTCTGGATGCTACCCACTCAGGACACTTGGAATACATTGGACGAGCAGCATGGAGGAATATTGACACGTTTTTGTGGACTTTTATGGACCTTTCTGTCTCGGGCACAATAGACCTCCATTATTTGAATGTCAGCAGACAGCAAGAAGCCTCCCAGATCTCCAGATGCATTTGAGATATCAAAAAAGTACTCCAGAGTGTTGTTCAGCATGGGGGTGAGTAGAAAATGAAGGCTAATCATGTTTTGGGTGTACTATTCCTTTAAGGTCACACTGCATATTGTCTCATTCTTGCGCTGTGGACACTCTGCTCAACAAACCTAAAAAACAATTGCACCTTTATTTCCTAAATTACTGTCTATGCAAAATTTAATCATGGTTGTCCGTTACCCTTTTCGAACAAAACAGCAAAAAATAAATAAAACAAAATGTTTAGGGTTGCAATAAGTTTGTGTGGATTATTATCTCATCTCTCTCCTCCTCTGCCTTTGGCAGCACCTTAGATACTAAAAAGTAGGCCTAATAGTATCTGTCGTCCTGGCCTCCATTTATGTACTGTTTGTCAGTTTTGCTCAACTATTTATCAGCTAATACTGCATCCTCTTAAGTTTACTGCAAACTTGTACACAGAATTGATTTAAAATGCAGCTGCCAGGGCAGTTTTGTTTTCTTCCTCTAAGAGCTATGTTGACCTTAACGTTCTTCTGTTGTTCATATCTGTTAGGTTTTTTAACATATCCATCTATTTTTTAGCACATCAACACTATCATGTACTTTGGGGTTTTCCTCCTCCATTTCCCTTCACTGTTACACAGGCTCACCTGACAAACATCTGCTTCTGAACTTTCAGCAGGATGGCTCTCGTTCTGGATTTCTGTCCTCCTTCCCTTTCATAACATAGATTCTGCTTTTACTTTTAAAGCTCTAATGAAAACTCATCTTTCACACATTAAGTTTGCCTATAAATAGAAGTTTCTATGGCTGACCTTATGTCTCCTCTTATGTACTTGTATTAGAGACACTGTGACTTGATCATTTCAATGTTATAATGCAGATTACCAAGGTTGAGTTTTTGGTTTTTAGTTCAATTTAATCCAAACAAATATGACCAAACAGTTAGCCCACTTATTTTTAATGGTTAAAGATATTTATATCTTATACCCGTCACAATTATTGTTTTTTAAACATGAAGTCTTTTTTTATGTCACTACGTACCAATATGACTGTCAATCTCCACGATCTTCTCAATGCTGTTTGGCTCCATTAGTGGGGAGGTGATCCTTTTCTCCACAGCAAGACACACTCCTTCTGATGTCTGGATACCGATGGCAGTGGAGCCAAGCTAAAAGAGAACAAGAATGCACAGTAGAAAAACTCTGAGCCTGAATTTAAGGACATGATGCCAAGTCTTAGAGTGGAGGTCTTCAACGGGGGTCCGCAACCCCTAGGAGGTCCACTGAGGTACTGCATAGGGGTCGCGAAAGTTTTGGTTGATTAGACTTTTTTTTTTTTATATTCCCCCTAGTAATTTTTTCCACTAATTGAAATGTCTTTAAATAAACATTAACATCAACTCAACACACTGTAGTAAACAGATAAATGGAGGCAGAAGATGTATTTCAGTCATCAATGCACACGTCCAGCAACACACAGGAGCTCTTTTAAGCTGGGCACCATTTCATTCACAACACCTGTCCCATCAACCAGGAATCAGAAATACTGCAATAATCCCAGGGAGAAATTACTTTCGTTCAGTGGTGTCAAAAGTACACACATTTGTTACTTAAGTAGAAGTATAGATACTGCCGTTTAAAAACACTCTGGTAAAAGTTAAAGTATCAACTTGACCTCTTTACTCAAGTAAAAGTGAAAAACTATGTGCTCCAAAAACTACTTAAAGTATAAAAGTATTAAGTAACCTTAAAAAAAAAAAAAACAACAGCCAGATGCCACTATATCAATTAAAAGCTCAAATTTTTGACTATTTCGAAAACTTTTTTGAGATAGGGCCAAGTTGGTCTCTTGTTGGTCTCCATCTCCCGATACGCTCTGGCCTGTGTCCAACCTTTCAGACATTTGAACATCTTTTTCTGAATCCCACATTGTAGCATGGCATAGACAATTCACGTTTACAGTTTAAAGAACACCTGCTTCTGATGATTTCCTTCAGCTAACCAATGAGTGTTTGCGTTATATGACTCATCCAATTACACTAGTTTTCACTAGATGTGGATGGAGCCAATGAGCTGCATTGGATGGCGCACATGACGGGAAATAAATATTTATAAACATTAAACCAAAGTCAAGAGTAACAAGTAAAGTTCAGGGGTTGACGTTAAGAATTTTTACCACTTGCCGAAAGGGCAAGTGACTTTCACATTTCATTTGCCCAGAAACAATTTTTACTTGCCCAGTATAATGCTTGATAAATATAGTTCCTAATATTCGTTTTTGTATATTTATCAATGAAACATGTTTGTTTTTTAAACGTTTTTTGTAATTCAGTATTTTTTAATTTTACAGGTTCCTGGTGTGTATATGCATGCCTCAGATAATGAACTCAAGCCTACATTACCGTGTAAACATGCCTTTCAATCCTTCCTGCACATTCTTTTCAAACTAAACTTTGCTTTAAACTGTTGTGTGCTTGGTAAAAATACAAATTGTAATGCGAAAAATCTAAAAAAAAAACTTGACAGGTTAAAAACTTAAGATAAATCACAAGACAGAAGTCAATGTCACAAATGAATAACTTATTTTAGAGTCACAGTATGTTTATACAAGATAATACTATTAATATAATGTGACTTTTCTAGAGAATCATTATACAGTTATTTTATACAGGGTTTCCACAGTCTTACATAATTTCAGAATTCCCTGACTTTTAACTGACTCAGGATTAGTTTTCCCTGACAAAATAAATGCAGCAACAAGACAATAATAATAACATAACAGGTCACCAATTTAACACGTTTAGCTCTATAACATTTAAATGTACCTCTCCAATGTCTGAGAGAAAAAAAATTAATGAACATTTTTTAATCTATGACCTGCATCACTGTAGATAAGACTGCCATATGATAGCGCTTTCTAGCTTGTTTGTCGTTTTGGTAACTACATCAAAATTACAGCTAGGTTGACAAAAATCACGCCATCAGGCAGAAAATTTCGCGGCTTTTTCAAATCACGCGAGAATGTGTACAAAACAACAAAAATGGCGCCGGCTGGGTCATTTTCAGCTAATGTCGGTGATTTTAAAGTAATTTTGAGTGATAAATAAATTTTTTTGCGATCACTGCACTCGCCCTGTGGGCAAATGCAATGAAATTTGTACTCTCCCGACAATAAAAAGTACTTGCCCCGGGCGATCGGGCAATGGTTAACATTGAGCCCTGAAGTTTGTTTTAAAAATGTAATGTAATGAGTAGAAGTCAGAAGTAGGAAGAAAAATAAGTAATAGAGCAAAGTATAGATACCTAAGTGTACATAAGTACAGTAACGAAGTATTTGTACTTCATTATTTGACACCTCCACTTTTGTTACATTACTCCATCTGTAATAGAATGGCTATAGGACCAGTTTGATATAACACAATTTGATACAATATATATAATTAACAGGTTCCCCACTCCATCAGTTTGGGGGTCCTTGGACTGGAAAACGTTGAAGACTCCTGCTCTAGAGAGAGGATCAATAAAATGTAGCTAAGATTTAACATGAGGTACTAACCTTTATTGCCTCTATGGCATATTCAACCTGAAACAGTCTTCCTTCGGGTGAAAATGTGTTTACACCTCTGAAAAAAAAGTAATATCTGTTAACAAACCAAGCTAAGGACATTTCAACAAACATGTTAAACTGAACTTTTTAGCACAGTTTGAAGCAAACATTGTCATAAAAAATAGTATTAGCATAAAACAATCATATAATATTACTTAATTATTTATAATAACGATTTAAGAAAGGACAAAAATGTGCTAACGAAACTGAAAGTAACTTTTCCTTTATAACAGTACAGTTAGCTGTTAGCTAACGACCAAAACAGAAAAGTACATGAAAGAGAAAAATAAACGCTTTGCTGAATACCTCTTTCGATAAACTGTGAGCATAAGACTTCATAGCACTAAGCAGAGCGTGACACCCCACTTCTCGGGTCTGCTTTTACTTTTATAATCTAGACGCACACAATAAATGACAAAGCAGTTTGTGCAGCACTTACCTGTCATATTCCGATCTGGTCAAAAACATCTTTTGCCTTTAAACTTTGAACCTGCAAATATATTTTAGGTTTAATAAACACAAATGACACTTAAAAGCAAACAAAAACCGTCGTAAGCGATATAATTCAGCATCTGTTTTTTAAATTATGTTCCCGTAAGCGGCTGATAAGTTAGCAGTGAGCATGTTAGCCACCGTGCGCAGAAACAAAGGGAACCGATACTTATATTTCATCAAATATTTCACTTGTTTACAGAATACTTAGTACAGCAACTTAATCGTGGTTTCATTAATACGTTTGAAACAATTCATGAATCTAATTTCGATAACAAAACTAATGAGGCACGTTTACCTTCAAACAGAAAGCCTGAATGAGTTCGCTTCTTTCAGGGGATGCTTCGTGGTGCAACGTTAATTCTGCACCGGGCGCAAGCAAGTTACACCATTGAGTTCCGCCCTCTTTGCACTTCTTCTTTTCTATCATGGCGGATCGCAAGCAACTTTAAGGTGCATACCGCCACCTACTGTTCATGAGTGTGTAGCAACATTGTTTTACATCTATTAAATTCTATTTTTTAATTTTGTATTCTGAAGATAAATAATTAATTCTTTCCTTAATCTATAAATATCCTTTATATTTCCTTTATTTCCCAATAATCCTTTAAGACTCCATTCTTGGCCTGTCCTTTCAACTACTCTTCTCAATTTCTCCCTTTCAGGTTCATATGTTCTACATTTTCTATCTCTCCACATCCTTCTCTATTTGCACTGATACGTTTTACAAGTTTAAAAATAACTTACAGCTGACATAGTCTGTTTTTAGTTTATTACGAATAAATGAAGCTTATTAGCATAATGTAGAATAATCGAATTAAATTACGAATTAAACATAAAATTGAGAAATAAAATAAAATATTTTCAAAAAAAAAAAGAAAGAAAAAGAGAAACCATTATCGAATCAAAGGAATAAAATAAATTACATAATGGAAAATTGGGGGGACTACCTATTCACGCTTAACGCTTTCTGATTATTTATTTTGCATGTTATTGCAAACTTCGGCCACTAGATGACTCCGTTGAGCAACGTTGTTTTAGTCATAGTTGAAAAATAAAGTTAAAAATGAAGAACTTGTATAAACGTTATTGTATTATGTTATATTATATTGTCCTATGTTTTTCTATTTAAATGATCAAAGCATAGCAATTGTAATCAAAACACTGAATCCCATAAATTATCATTATTAGAACAGTCTGTTACATTATTTTATTTATTTTTATTATTATTATGATTATTATTTTTATTATTATTTATTATTATTAAGAGTAGTACCATTGTAGCGCTGTTATTTAAATAAGCAGCGCCCCTTTAACTGTAGAACAGTCATAAAGGAAAATGAGTTAGATAAACAGAAGACTCCTCTACTGTTTGTGGTGGTTGAGTTTGTAGAAAGGTTGTGCTGTAATAAAGGAGGGATTTCTGGACAGTGTCGGGTTGCATCAGTTCCGTTCTGTCCTGTTTAGGTTCTGTTTCGCTGCTCCTCATCGTTTAGAAATGTAACTGTTGCTGCTGTGAAAATCCAAACGTCTTTCTCCAACTCTTATCAGAGCTGATCCATTCGCTGGGCTTCAGCTTTGTCCTGAGGAGGATCAGAAACATGCGGGAAGTTTCTCAGGCGCTTCTTTTCTTCCACAGTAAGTAAAGTGAAGTTTTTGTTTAACTGCTGTTGTGTCTGTTTTCTATAAAATCCGCCATCTTTTGTTCTGCTTGATTATTAAAAAGAAAGTGTAGCAAAATTAACATTTTCTCCATCTAAGATGGAGATATTCTCCCTTAGAATAAAGAAACAAAACGCCTTATCTTACATCTAACTCAGAGGAAAATGGATTCTTTAGCTCTTCCTAGGGAAAACAATAATTTGCTTAAAAATAATCAAGAGAATAATCCTTCTCAATAATCAGCAATAAGTTTGTTACATTCATGCTGATTTTGCAGTTTCTACCTTAATTGGTTAAATAACATGCTGCAGTCATTTTGCACATCTCTGATGTTTCTGCTATTTTCAAATATCCATCACTGTAAAAATGTCCACAGCTGGATATGAGTCATTTATTCTCCAAGTGCACAGCTCTATATTGTTAAAACACTTCACAGTACGATACTTTATTTTTTATCTCATAACTCTTCACTAGTGTCTTATTCTTATAAATTTTTCTAAGGTCCACATTTGTGTGACATTTTTTCTATAATCTTTTTGCTGCTGTAACACCAGAATTTCCCCACTGTGGGACAATAAAAGTATTTTCTATTTTATTCTATTTAACATATATATATATATATATATATATATATATATATATATATAAACAATTATCGCCACCTATTTAATATGTTGTCAAGGACTTAAAAAAAAATTCTTTTTTAAACAACAAAGAACCAAAAAGCAAAAAAAGAGAAAAATCCAACCTTTTATTTAAGTACATTACTTTGGTGGTAAAAAATAAAATACATTCAGAAAACAAAAAATTTAAAATCATGTGTTCCACAATTCTTGGCACCCCTGATGTTAATACTTCCTACAGCCCCCTTTTACCAACAAGACAGCGCTTAATCTCCTCCCATAACATTTCACGAGATTTGAGAACACAGAGAGAGGGATCTTTGACCATTACAGATCCTCCACCATACTTCACCGCGGGCATGAGGTGCTTTTCGGCATACTCATCTTTTGTTTTACGCCAAACCCACTTAGAACGTTTGTTGCCAAACAGCTCAATCTTAGTCTCATCTGACCAAAGCACACAATCCCAGTTGAAGTCCCAGTGCTGCTTAGCAAACTCCAGACATTTACTTTTGTGAGTATTGATGAGAAAAGGCTTTTTCCTTGTGTAACCGGATCCTTTCTGCATTGTGCTGTTTTATTAAGTGATCAGGCCATGACACAGTTCGTCTGTAATAAGACAGTTTCCCGATTTATTGTGCCTGACGAGAACAACATACAAAAACAACTGTGTTATTGGCTCCCCACTCCAAGTCCTCTCCCGCAGGACAACATGACAAAAAAGGGACAGCGGTGCGGCAAAAGTATGTCTCACAGTAAACCAAATAAACCTTTTTTATACAACATACCTGACGAGAACAACATACAAAAACAACTGTTATTGGCTGCCCGCTCCAAGTCCTACACAAAACAGAAGTACAGAACAAATATTAACTTAATAGATCTATAAATAAACTGTATATATTCAGATGAAAAATAATTGGCACACACCTCTCCCACAGGACAACATGACAAAAGGGGAGGGTCTATGGGGTGCAGACAATTTAAAGACAATACCACAGAAGAAGTCAAAAGGAGGGGCTTATACTCTTACAGTAGCAGCACAGTTAAAACAATGATATTTTCTAGAGGTTTTTCAGTCAGGTAAGTAACAATACAAATAAAAACATTTTTTGTTAACAAAAGAGAAATACAACCAGGTTACACTTGCATGCTTTCCAAACAGCTCGTTGGCCTGTAGAGAGCATCTGATGGTTGTTTTGGAGACTTTCTGACCCCAGGATTCCACGCTTTGTTGGCGACAGTAGGCGTAGGACTTTTTTTTACTTCTCTTACCATCCTTCTCACTGTGCGTTGTGGCAAGATAAAATTGGGACCTCTTCCAGCCTTGTTTGTCACTGTTCCAGTTGTTTTAAACTTCTTAATGGTTCCTCTGACTGTAGATACAGGCAAGTTAAGGCGAGTGGCTATTTTCTTGTTACCATTGCCTGAGTTTTGAAGGTCGACACACATCTGCCTTACTTATATTGTGTGATCTCTTGTCTTTGACATGCTTACTAATTGGTAAGAGAATTAGGCCTCTGCGTCACGTATTATTTATACCCCAGGGAAACAGGAAGTCATGAATTACTAATTAAAAGTTCCTAGATACCTGACCAACTTTAGAAACTACAGAAAAATACATTTAAAGGAAATCAATTACATTTTTTTAGCGGAATTGTTAGGGGTGCAAATAACTGTGGGACACATGATATCATGTTTTTTTATTTTCTAAATGTGTGGTTTTATTTTTACCACTAAAGTAATTTACTTAAATAAAAGGTTGGATTTTTCTCTTTTTTTGCATTTGGGTTCTTTGTTGTTTAAAAGAAAACGAGAATTTTTTTTTAAGTCCTTGACCACATCTTAAACAGGGGGCAGCAGTTTTTATTTTATTATTATTTTTTTTTTGTGGGGACATATAACTAAAGCTTGCAACAAAAAGTTGATTGTTTCATATATTGACATGCAAAATTAAAGGGCCGCTTGCAGCTCTAAGGGCCCTACATATGGCAGATAAAGTAGGAACACACCTATTTATCAGCCCTGATTTCCTTAATTTTTAGAGATTGGTGATCAAACGATACTTAGGTGTGAAAATGATCATAATCAATGATCTTATCTACCTTTGCAAACAAAAATCACATACTGTCAGTGCTCTAAACTTTATTTTTTAAAGCATTATCTTCCGCTGTTATAATTCAATTCGATTGAAAAATACTTTATTAATCCCAAAATAAAAATGTAGTTGACATTTTTGTCACATGTATTGCTTTTTTATTTGGATAAAGTATGATAGAAAATTTCAAGATTGATTGTTAAACTATAACAAATGTTATAGAGGAAATAGGTATGGGTCAAAATCCTAATTGACAGGTCAGGCTTTTTAAAGACCGGTTATCGGCCTTAAAGCTGCAATCGGTGCACCCCTAAAACTGTGATCTTCTATCAACTAAACTAAAGTCAAAAGTGCAACATCTTCATTTTCAGTTGTTTTTTAAGTTGTAGAACAAAAATTTTAAAGCTACAAAATGAAAAGGATCCAAGGGATGAATGAGTGACAGTATTTGCCAGCACATAATAATCATACCAAGGCAAAGCAAGTTGATTTGTATAACACGATTAAGTACTAAGACAATTCAAAATGCTTTATATGAAGTAAAGCAAGTAGAGATAAAAACATGTGCAAAACAAATAAACTTGGATCACAAACTGAATTATAACTCAGTGAACGAAGACCAGTTCTGCAGGCGTGCTGGCCCCCATTGGCCCCTGTCTAGAACCGCCCATGCCAAGCTCATCTTGTCTATGTATACTTAGCTCCATCCATCTTCCTATCAACACAAAAACCCAAACCCACATGAAAAAATGACAGTTACATTTTATAGTATCAAGGACCCCGCTTTTATAAACCCTTTTTTGGGGGGGTAAATTTAAGTAAAGTATTCAGTAACCTTTTTTGAAAAATCCCACATTGTCTTTAGTTTGTGTTCCTAAAGAAACAAAAATATTGAGTTTCTGTTCATCCCTGAATTTTAAAGGTAAAGAGGCGAATTTTTGGAATGATGTTTGAAAAGATCCGCCCTCTCCTCTGTGAAGTTAGGAAGATGAGGCTGAGGCATTCCTTGCAAGAAATAAGGTTAAAATTTATTTAATGTCCTCAGCTGGAGAGATGGGGCTCTCTGACTGCGGCAAGCTCAGTACATACATGTATACCTTACAAAATCATAAACACACTCCCCCCTGGAGAACCAACCCACCCCCTGCATAAAGAACTTTCTCAAACTTAAACATTTGGAAGAAAAAAACATCTCGAGTTCATCAAGGCCGTTCACTGTTAGGTTAATATATCTTTCATTGGCCAGATGGATCTTCTCAAAACAACAATCCTCCCCTTCATGCCGGGAAGGAGGCTGTGTAACTCATTCTTATCTCTGATGACCTTTAGAGCCCGTGAGGCTAAAAACAGACATATAAAAATTTTTTACCTCACACTACTTTGAAAAAAAATGCACATGCACAACCCTGCACCCGCTCCTGAGAGGGAACGCCTATTAATTGTATGCAAGAGCATGCAGGAGCCCATTTCTCCTGGTCAGTTGCTGTTTGCATCGCTCATACAAGCTCACATTCCAAAAGAAGATTTGCAATTTTTCTACTATGTCAGACTCACAAACTGGGGACAAAGATGTAGGGCGGCCTTACATAAACATATCACCAGAATGATTGACAAGAGGACCAATTATTTTGATGATCTACCCGGAAAATGAACATCATCCACTACTAGGGTTGTCACGATACTAAACTTTTCAACTCAATACCGATACTAAGGAAAATATTCGATACTCGATACCATTTTCGATACCACAAGGATAAAAACAAAGACTCCAAAATTCAACAGAAATATTTTCATTAATAAATAAAATACAATAAATAAATACAATAAACAATAAGAACAATATTTTGAGGTTGTATGCTGTGCACAATATTAAGCAAGCTTGATAAAAAACGTATAAAATTAAAAGTTCCGTCCTTGGCTGTGCTTTGCACGCATAACAATGACGCTAGCCAAACAAAACTAATTCTCAGCAGCTGCACCTGTTACAAAAAAGTCTGAAAGTGAAAAGTGCACAGAATTATTCAATCACACAGTGTTCTGAAAGTGCATTGTCCTCTATTCTGCACTTTAGATGCACTTTAGGTGCCACTGGTTGTAGCACTGTATCGATACTTTTGAAAATGAGTATTGTATCCGGATACAACGTTTCAATATCGATACTTTTTTGAGTATCGATACTTTTGACAACCCTATCCACTACATCTTTAAAGTGATTAATGCATTAATTTCTCTGGTTTTGTTTCAGTCTCTGTGGCGTGCCTCTTCACCACAGGTATGTGACTCTTTAATGAGCTGATCTGTAACTCCTCGGTAAAGTGCTGAAAATCGTTCTGCTCTCTCCCAGTGTCCTGTCAATCTGACAGCAGCAGCAGTGTGGTGGTAGCAGGCTACAATGTCAGCGGGCCAGCCGGGTCCAAGCTGGTACTGCAGTGCATGAGTGGTCGCATGGTTTGGACCAGGGACAGGGTGAGGGACAGACAGAGGGTGGTCCATTGGGATATATATCGGGACTTCCCGGACTACACCATGGAGAGAGTGGTGGACATGTTCTCAGCTGGAGAGCATAGGCTGTACCACCATCATAACCTGGGAAGAGTCAGTCTCAACCCTACAGCCTTCAAAGACGGAAACTTTTCACTGGTCATCAAAGGTCAATGATCTTAATCTAATAAGTTTTCATACTTTTTTATTGTTTCATTTGCATTAGCAATGTTTACAGCCTTTGCAGGATCTTATGTCAATTTTCATACATTTATAAGTGTTTCGTTGTTTTTTGTTTTATTCAAAATACCATACCTTTTCCAATAGTGCCCTTATCAATCCTATTTCAAAAATAAAAATTGATTTCAAATACTTGAGACAGGACCTTAAAAATGCGTTATCCTTAAGCTCCTTATCTACTGTTTGTTTGACAAGTTATCAGCTAATACCTGTTTGGGAGTCGTCACACAGTTTTATTTTCACATCAAACTGTTCAGAATTTTCTATTTTGTTAAAGATTAAACAAAAGTAATAGGAAAAAAAACTGTCAAAAGATTCAGTTTTAGTTAGTACTGTGAGAAGTTGTCTGTTTAAGGTGCTTTTTTTTAACAACAACATTTCAGGTAGACCACCAATTCAATTCAGTTTATTTCTATAGCGCCAATACACAACACATGTCATGTCAAGGCACTTTATAGTTCACCAGATCGTCCAGTCAGATTGATTCAATGTTTTCTATCTAAGGAAAACCAGTTGATTGACTCGAATCATTGACTCGAAGACAATCCCTCACACTAAGGGTACTTGTAGCGACAGTGGAGAGGAAAAACTCCCTTTTAACAGGAAGAAACCTCCAACCATCGGCCATCTGCTGAGGCCGATTGGGAATCAAGGAGACAGAAGCAGAAATACAAAAGGCAACTGCAAAAGGCGGACAAGCTCTGAGCCAACCCCCATGTCAGAGGATGAAGAGAACACATCCAGCCAGTCACAGTCAGAGAAACAGGACTACACTGGAAAACAGGCCGATCTCCAACATCTATAAACAAAGGTGTTGATGGCAGCAGCACAGAAATCCAGAACACCAGAGAAAAAATACAATTTTAAAGTCCAAGCTTTGGCACTTTGGAAGTAAAGTAGAACACAATTAGAGATGGTTTAAAACTGGTTAAAGGTGGTTAAAGAGTATACGAAAAAAACAAAAATTATCAAGCAAAATTAGATGTTCAGGATTATCTAATTTCAGGAAAAATCCAGCAAAAGGCTGAGTGGGAATTCGGATGCATGGGTGTATTTTTAAAGCTTATTATACTTTAAAAAAAAAAAAACTTCACTCAAGTCCTGAAAGTCCCTTACAGTTCTTTTTTCAGTTTTATGGTTAATTCTTTGTCAGAATTTAATGTTTCAGATCCTCAAACTCATTTTAAAGTCAAACAAAGAAACCTAATAAAACAGAGAAGGCAAATTTAAAATAGTTTCCTTTGGTTGATTATATGACATTAATGGCATTTGATTATGCATATAATTTATTTCATTAAATTTCTATAAAGCAATGTTATTAACAACATTTAATTTCCCTTTTGGATTATTGGAGTATTTCTGAATAAATTCAGAATTAATTTTCTGAGAGTAATCATAACATTGTGAAAATATTTATGGCCTCTATGTAGTAAAGCTTGTTTCATGATTATTTAAATAAAGAATGGAAATGTGAAAGAAAAGCGATCAGAAATGAAACTTGGAAAGACTTCCTAAATAGAAAAAAAGATTTTGAGAGTAAATTGGAAGTTTTCTTTAGATTGCGTTATTTTCATATTGTGCTTTACAGATTACAGTGACTAACTTTATTTCTTTATTTTGTAGTGACAAGTGCAGAGGCGTTTCTATTGGTCTGCATGAATGTTCACTACAACATTTTCATTGGTCAAGAGCGAGAGTTCAAATTGAGCATTAAGAGAGTGTGAGCTCTGAACCAATGTTTAAAAAGAAAAAAAAAAATTTTTTTATTTATTGGTAAACTTTCAACGTTTCATTTCTGAATTGCATCTTCTCTTTTTTTTCACATATCCATTTACTAGACATATTCTTTACCTGCAACAATAATGGAATTGATTTTTTAATTTCATCATCCACACCCAGGTCTGATAAGGAGCAGACTTGTACCATAAAGCAATCACTTTAATAGGACCTGCCCAATAGAAGGAAGTAGCCTCTAGTATGGAGGTCTTCAACAGGGGGTCCGCGACCCCTAGGGGGTCCACAGAGGTACTGCATGGGGGTCGCGAAAGTTTTGGTTGATTAGGTTTTTTTCTTTCTTTTTTTTTTTTGTGTTTATATTCCCCCCTGCAATTTTTTGCACTCATTGAAATGTCTTTAAATCCACATTAACATGAATTCAACACAGTGTAGTAAACAGATAAATGGAGGCAGAAGATGTCTTTCAGTCATCAATGCACACATTCAGCGACACACAGGAGCTCTTTGAAGCTGGGCACCGCCTCATTCACAACACCTGTCCCATCCACCAGGAATCACAATCAGAAATACTTTAATAATCCCAGGGCGAAATCACTTTTGTTACATTACTCCATCTGTATTAGAGTGACTATAGGACCATTTACATTTAACACAATTTCATACAATATATATAATTAGGGGGGGCTCTACCATCAGTTTTGGGGTCCTTAGCCTGGAAAACGTTGAAGACCCCTGCCTTAGGGTATTTGGGATGTCCAGCATGTCAATAATTGGAGATTCCTATGCACTTAAATACAACATTTAGCTACATTGTTGTCATTTTAAGTGGGCTAATGATGCCCCAAAATTCAAGAGGCTCTTAAAAACCATTATTTTTTTAAATCAGGCTATCTGGGGACAGTAGGCCTAGTGGTTTAGAGCAGTGCCCTGTGTTTTGAGAAGGTTGCAAGTAGTGTTGCGCCGATGCCATTTTTTGGCCCCGATACCGATACCGATACCTGGCTGTGCAGTATCGGCCGATACCGATACCATAATAATGTAAAATAATTGCCATCATGGCTTTGTTGAGGGGCTGCCTGCTTTGTGAAGCAGGAAAAAATCTAATACAAAGTGAATCCAGTAGAACTTTTTATTGCCTACCTGGAATGGGTGACAAAAGTTGAATAAACTTATGGCTCTCAAAATGGTATCAGTGCTCTATTTGTTGGTACTCACCCATACCGATACCACCATTTTAGGGCAGTATCGGGGCCCCGTCCGATAGTGGTATCGGTATCGATGCAACACTAGTTGCAAGTACCCATTTCGATTCACATAGCCTCCCCTCTGGGTTCCTGAGCAAAACCCTTAACCCACACACGCTTCCCAAGGGGGTGAGTGAAATGCAGAGAGTGAATTTCCACAATTTTGGGACAATAAATGGACTTACACGATCACATTACATTATCTGAAACTTATAAATATAAGGTGTTTGTTAAAAGTATTAGTGTTTAACAACCATCACTGCCTAAACTATTGACTTACACAAAAAGATCCTCAGTTAGTCTAAGAACAATGTTCGATTAACCAAAACTGTACCTGGTTGACAGATGTAAGGATGAATGACAGAGGCCTGTACACATGTAACCTCCACCATATCTACTGCAAGCTGGATGAAACCGTCCGAATTCAGCTCAATGTGACCAAATCAAGTATGTATCTTCCCCAAGTTGTCAGAGTGTGAGTCCAGGGGAACGGCAGTGTTACCACACATGTCCTCTTTGATTAATCCTCTTTTCCCTATGAAGAGCGTAAACTGCAGAGCTTCTGGGATGGGACAAAAAGCGTGTACGTGGTGCTGCAAGGGACCACCGTGGTGTTGCCTTGCATCAACAGACGAAGCATCTGGACAGACTGGAGCAACGAGGAAGAGGACCAGCAGGCGAGGAGATAAGCAAGGTTTATAGATCGGCTTTCATTTTTGTGTCATTTCGTCATAACGATTGCGAGCTGTGTTACGTTTCCAGGTTGTCCACTGGGACCGGCAAGCGCCAGGAGTCCAGCATGACCGTGCCGATCGGCTGGTGGACCTTTACGCCTCCGGTGAGCAGCGCAGCTACGGACCTCTGTTCTTGCAGAGGAAGATGAACATCAGCAGTCAGGCCTTTTCGCAGGGTGACTTCTCTCTCACGATAAAAAATCTCCAGGTATGCATGCATGTGTGAAGATGAGAAACATATACACCTTGGTATAATCATGTTCCAGTGGGAGGATAATGTTTGCTGTCATTCATATTTCACAAAACTGCACATGCAGAAGTGTGATACAGCTTCTCCTTAACATGTGGAAAACCCATCAACTATGTAGCTCTCTTTGGGAAAGCTGGGAGCTGGCAATGGCAACATGTTGAGCAAGTAATGGATATTTTTCAAATATCCATTACTGTAAAAATGTCCATGGCTTTATATTGGTTACTTATTTTCCAGGTGCAAAGTATTAATATTGTTAAAAATAAATTCCAATACAGTATTTGTTTCTTTTTTAATTCTTCACTATTATGTTATTCTTATAAACTTTTGTGTGACAATAAAGGCATTTTCTATTCTAAAAAGATGAGTTAAACCATAGAGCAGTTAACAAGTAGAAGATTTCTGGTTGAAATCTGGTGTTATGCAATTAAATGCTGTGTAACTTTGTTATTTAATCAAATAACTTTCGGACTGTTGTGTGTGGTTCCGTGAACACACGGCGAACAACAACTGAAAGTACGAAACAAACTTATTTCATGGTCGAACGGATAACTGCACACAAATGGAATCAATTCACATCATCAATTCCCCCCCACACCGCTCTCTCCATTCATCTCCTGGTCGCAATCTCACTGTAGCAACAACGTCCACCTCTCCCTCTTCAGTTCTTTGAAAGAACAGGTTTATTTTTTGAAGTTTTTTTTCATTCTTCCAGCAGCTCTTTCCTTTTTCTTGTACGTAATGGTTAAGGTTTTAATCTACGCTCTGGATTACCCTTAATTCCAACAATTCCAAGTCGTAGTGTTCTTTATTAGATCTTTATTGCGGTTTGAAACATATTATATGAGTGTATTTTTTACCAGCCGTCTAATGAACTGTACACAGTTATTAACATAGCAAATAAAAGTACTACTGTCTGCTTTGCCATTGGTGTCGTGTTTAAACAGCTCACCATCATGTTGAATTCTGGCATGTGTTGCGGTATAAATAGAGTCCGGTGCGGCCAGTCTTTTCAGGATCAGGTGGGTTTAAGAGGAATTTTTTGCATCATTACATCTGCAACTGCGTAGGGGGCCTTCTTGGGGTCAGCGATGGGGGCCCCCAAGATTTTATGGGCCCCTAAGCTCCTGCAGTCTCTGCTTACCGATATTTACGCCATAGATGTACACAAAGAAAAAGAAATGATTAAAAATCATTATCGGTAAAATGATGCAACGATATTACAGCATGGATGTTTTGTTTCAGAACCATAATCTATCGTGAAGAAGATGGAATGAGGTCAAATTAGCTTTAAAACAGAGCTGCACAGATCAGAGCATCTGATCAGACATCGAGTAATGTATTTTTTTTTTCTTATTTCCATTAAAAAATTTGTTCTTTTCTTGTAATGATTACGACTCCATAGTTAAAACTTGTCTTTTTAAGAATAATGTTTTTGTGCCGCATTCGTCAACCTGGCTGGCCAGGCTAGGTGACGGTAGAAACACCATTATGAATGACCCCGTCATGCCTGGAAAAATATTGCTCAGTACAAATGGATTGTCTATAGAAGACAAAATAACAAAAATAACTTGGAGTTTCACAAAAGTTATTGTAATTTTGTATACACAGAGTGCATATAAAATGACATTTCCATTGACATTTCATGACATTTCCATTTCTTAAAGTGCAGCAGTAATCACATATAAACATGTGGAGAAAAAAAACACGGTGCAAAAAACGTGTTGATATGGTCAGTTTGATGCAGAGACATGACAAGACATGATTTAGAGTACTATTTCAACACTACTGACTGCCAGAGGGCAGTGCTGAAAACACTGAACATTCCCTTCGGGCATTTGCAGTTCAAGTCATTATACCAACAGAGTCACACCTGTGATGCTGGATGACCACTCAGAAGCTACATAGCTTGGTGTCATCCTTGGCTCTATTCCTTTTATATTCTCGCAAGCAGTTCACTAGCTTCCCTGTTGTTTGAAGCCCCTGTCTCTTGCTGCCTGGAGTTGCAGCTTTTCTCTGCCCAACAAAGGCTGCAACTGGTCGATTATGTAAGAAGATTTTGGAAGGTAAGTTTGTTTGTTTGCTGGTGATGGTTGTGTCCGCTCCCCCTCACCCCAGCTCACTGCTTCTTGTTACAGTGTTACCTACAGCCTGGTGCTGTTTTGTTGAGAACTGGTCAGGGCAGCATTTTCGCCCCTACTCCTAGTGTGACCAACTTCACTTCCAGAAGTTGGATTTGGCTAACGATGTTAGCTTCTTTAATTTACTGGTGTTATAGTTGGTGACGGTAGTGGTTTCCCCCTAAGCGTTCGAACCACAGTGGTGGGACTGCAGTCTTGATGCCCCTCTCTCAGAGGAAGCGGGCCAAATTGACCAGGGCTTGTCCACAAGGGTTGAGCAGTTGTCGGCGGGGTTGGGAGTTGGCAGAGATGAAGTCCTTGATGCAGACACATCAGGCTAATGCCTCGCTTCCAGTGGATGGGCTCTCTTCCCCACCCATGCCCGAACTGGTTGTGGAGGAGGACATCATATCTCTGGCTGCTTCTTTCGCGGCATTGGCAACTCCCTGGCGCACTCATGTTCGCCATCTCTGAATCTGTTCAGGATGTTGGTGGTGCAACTGCAGTGGTTGGTTTTAGTGATATAGCGCTGCAGGTCTTTGGGGAGAGCTTGGCCGTTTCATGTCTTTCCTTGTCCAAGCTGGTAGACAGTCTCCCCTGATCGAAGCATGCCATAAGACCTTCAGAGGTGTCCCAGTTGTGCCAGGGCAGGTTTTTGGATCAGCTCACCTGGAGGCACTGGAGCGGACTGTTCAGGCATGTCAGACTGAAAAGCTTTCTGGCCTTTGCAGGAGCATAGCCCACCTTCCTCGTTGTTCGGGGCACCCGGCTGCTACCCCCAGCATTCGTCCACGACCTTGGACTGATGTTAGACCTGGTGGTTTCTATCCCTGTGAGGTGTGGCAGAGATCAAACAGAGACTTTCGTGAACCAGTGTGCTGCCCAGTTAGACAAACCTGGGCCTCAGATCCTGGACGCCCTCCCCCCAGGGCTCCTAGAGCCGGGGGGGGGGGGGGGGGGGGGCTCTCTGGATACGTCCCGGCTTCTTCTTCAGGTGTCACAGATGGGCCTTAAAGTGAGTTTGGCAAAGAGTTGTCTGGTTCCCTCTCAGACAACCACCTCTCTTGGAATGCATCTGGACTCCACTACCATGAGTGCTCGTCCATCTGTTTACAGGGTGGATGACATACTCAAGCTTGTCAGTCAGTTCAGGCTTATATCATCTTCCTGCGAATGCTGGGCAAACAGACATCAGTCACTCATGTCGTGACCTTAGGTTTTCCTTCTGCGTCCTTTGCAGCGGTGGCTCAACAGCTTTCGCCTAGGCACCAGGCTGCACATGCATCGCAGGCTAACGGTGATGAGGATGTGCCTTCATGCTCTAGCTCCTCTGCGAGACAGGATCCTTTTGTCCAGTGGTGTTCCAGTGGGATTGGTGGTGTGTCGAAAGTAAGTGGTCACCACAGATGCCAGCCTCATGGGCTGTGGCACCTAGTGGCAACACAAAGCGGTTCGTGGTCTCCGGGGTCCAAGGGAAGGCACCAAACACAAACTTGCTGGAGCTGCAGGCTGTGCATATGGCCCTCAGGTACCTTCCCACCTAGAGGCATGTGTTGATTCAGACGAGCAACATCTCTGTTGTTTACCATATAAAACGACCAAGGTTGCAACAGGCATTTCCCTGTCTGTCCACCCTGCATGCAGCATATCTGCCAGGAGAGCAGAACCAGGTTGCAGACTCTCTATCCCGCCAGGCACCTGGTCCGGGAGAGGGGTCCCTTGACCATGATGTAATGTGCATGATATGGAACCTCTTTGGGCAGGCAGAGATAGTGGCTTTCCTGCAAGACTGCTTTCCTGATGGTTATCTCCTCAGCTAAGAGGGTCGGGGAGCTACATGCTCTCTCTGTCAGCCCTACCTGCATCAGGTGGGCTCCAGAAGGCTCTGCTCTCACCCTGTGGCTTAATACTGCATTTGTGCCTAAGGTGTTGTCTCCTTTTCACCATAACCAGCCATTGCGGTTGTCAGTGAATGTCATCTGCCATGCCTACGTTGTAGATCACTGGTTCCTGCCAGTAAGTGTGAGGGCACATTTCACCAGGAGCATCTCTGCTTCCTGCACGGCTTTGAGAGGAGTCCCGCTGGAAGCAATATGTGCTGCTGATTCATGGGCTTCCCCGACCACCTTCACAAGGTACTACAATGTCAATGTGGCTGCAACTCCTCCACTGGGTCAGGTCCTTTTACAACTTTCTGCTGGGCCCTCTCAGTGAGGTATGTGCTCAGGATTCCTTGTGACATTGTTGACATTAGTCATTCAGTGCTTTCAGCACTGCCCTCTGGCTGTCCGTAGGGATGAAATGGAATGAAAGTTACGTATGTAACTACGGTTCTATAAATTCCGAAGGCAGCAAAATAAGGGAAAACACAAAGTAATAGCAGAGATAACATCAAATATTAAACTACTAAGTGAGGATTATTTTTGCATCATGAATATAGAGAGCCAAAGGAGAGCTCATAAGTTTAACTTTATGTTTTATTAATAATAAGCATTTTAACCCTCAGAACATGATATCTGAGCTAAACGGCTATATCTGCATTCCAATTTCCTTTTCTTTTTCATTTGCACAATGTGTCTTTCACACATGTTTTTACAGCCTACAGATCAGGGGACATATTCCTGTCACCTACATCATCATTACTGTGGCCTACATGAAAGAAGAGAGTTTCAGGTCACGGTGGAGGCTCCTTTGATCCAGAGCATGCAGCCGGCCCTATCACTTCCCAAAGACAAAGGTAAATGAAACATCTCTTCCTTCTCTTGGGTTTTACTGGCCAGTCTCAGTCCATAAGCAGAGCAGATGTTTTAGCACTTAAATGGGTGGAAACATTATGTGTGCTGACATCTGCTTATTCCCTCACTCTTGTTTCTTTATCTCTTCTCTGACTTTCCAAACAGCAGATCTGAATTTTCTTCTCTCCGGGGATTTTTTTTTCTCATATAGTAGCAATATTGTTGCTTAGCTTTGCCTTAAATCCAAGAGGCATCTCTTCTTCAGTGGATGTTTCAGACATTTGTTTTCACTACTCTTTGCATGAGCGTTCATGGATTTGTTTAAACACACCAGATCTGCATCTCACCAGCTCCCCTCCATCGCCTCTTTTTGACAAAGAGAGAGTTTTGGATTCATGTGTATTTTTTTCCCCTACAGTAGCAGATCAAGGCTTTTAAAAGCAGAGGTATTGCCTGCGTATGCACGTATAAGCCAGCTCCTGTGTGTGTTAAACAGAGCATGCCAAAGGGGCCGATCTCATTTTGGTGGAATCTCTTGAATGGAGTCCAGCTCCATCCACCGGAAAATAATCCCCCTCTCTACCAGAGCTGGGATAAAACATAAGGAATGCTTCCTGGGAATTATACATGTTTTATGTTGTGACGTTTAATCTCCAGAAGTTGTTTATCCTATTCTGTGGTCCTGATCTGATACATGTATGCTTTGGCTCAGCCTTTGTGCCTTTTTCATTTTTTCTCACTTTCATCTTTCCTCTCTCCGGCGGTCACATTCCTTTGTTGCTCCAATTTATTGAGTTTAAAAATGCAAACATGGAAAATAGTTTTAAACATCTGATCATCTCATCCTTACCTTTATTCTTATGTATATTTTAAGACAGGACTAGTTCTCATGTATGTTCAGGTATTGTGTATCTCACTAAAAGAAGGGGAGGACTTTGAATATTTTTAAGTACACTAGAGACAATCTGGTTTTAAGGATGTTGGGGGCGAGGTCTTCTCTCTGGAAAGATTTTTCACCCCATCCTCCCACTCGTTCCACCCCTGCTCTGCCCTTCCTTCACTCCTCTCACTTTTTTCCCCCTTTTTTTTTGCATTTTCTATGTTTTTCTGCCAGGAAAAGTAAATCAAAACATGACATCAGTCTGAATCAGATTTCCTGGCTTAAGTAAGTTGAGTCTGAGGTCTGCAGCTGCTTCTTGACTTACAGTCTAAAAAAAGTGAAACCAGAACCTTTACTATGGCTCTGTCTGCTTCTTCATACTCAGCAGAACCTCACAAGGACAGTAATGTCAGTTTGGTATACGCTCGTTACATCTGTTTTTTTTTCTATTAAGCCTTTGTTATTAATTAGAATAAAAGCTATACACGTACATATATATGTCTGAAAAACAAATAAAATTCTGTTTCAAATATATTCAAGGTTTGATTATGTTTCACAATTCATTTCATTGGAATTACCACATTTTAAGTATTTTATTGTGCCCAAAAAAATAAGTAGTGCATAAATTTTAAAATGAAAGGAAAAACCATGTATGGTTTCAATATAGCTTTAAAGTGTGGTGTGTCTCCACTTTTACTCTGATACCTATAATTCAAAGCCAGTTGAGTAAAAAAAAAGCAGCCAATTAGTAAAAACTAAAAGAGTCCTATGTGTGAGTTCATGTCAAACTGTTGCTGCAAAGGTTTTTTAGAGAATAGCATCATGATAACAGGAAACACAGCAGACAGGTTGGGGATGTAGTTGTGGAAATGTCTGGAAGCAGGGCAGAGCATTTACACATCCAACATGAGAGGAGAAAGAGCCTTACTGTGAGATGCATGCGTAAAAATTGTTTATTTCAAACTATCCAGGGCTTGATTAATGTAAAGAAACATGTTGACTTTTTATACCACACAGAAGACACCAAAGCTGACTCACCGCGAGTCATCAACGTCATCCTGCCCGACCAGAGACACCATTTTCTCCTGCCGCTTGGCTACGTTCTCACCTCCTCCCTGCTTCTGGCATTCATTACCCTCATCATCATCCTCATCATGAGACGACGCAAAGCCAAAGGTCTGCTCTACAGTCTGTCAGATTGATTAACTTTCAGATTTTCATAATTTATGTTCCTATAAGATGTTATTTTTTTATTTCAGATTTTTCTCCTAAAGTATCTATTAGGTAAGTTCTAAAGGAAACGTTTCACAGCACCTTGATATAAACTTTGCAACAAGGTGTCACTTTACAGACATTAGCTTCAGTGTGTTTCATGTGAAACACCAACACATAGTTATGAATTGGAAGAAAGATCACATGTGATTCAATAAATGTTTGACAAATACTAATCTGAAAAGTGTAGCATGCATTTGTTTTTTTGACAATATTTAAAGTTTTGGTTAGGGATGGGAATTAACAACCGGTTACTGTTATGAACTGGTTGGCAGCTCGCTTAACGATTCTCTTAACTGTTCCAGGCAGCGCCAGAGCCTAGCGCTGGGCAGCGGGACTTTGGTCACGTTTTTTTACGCAAGTTACACTCATGGCATTCAGTAAACAAGTACGACGTGACCAGGCGTAAGTCTAGAAAAGCAAAACAAAAAAAATGGCGGCCCATTGGGTAAAGTGATAGAAAGTTTGGCTTTATTTTAAGGAAGAGAAAGATGGCAACAAGGTGCTTTGCAATCATTGCAAAGTGGCGATTACATCCGCAGGAGGAAATACATCCAACATGCAGAAACACCTGTGCACACAACATGGCATACATTAACGAATGCCATGTTTTTGATGCTTCCGGACAGAACGTAAAGTTACGACCAGCATGGAAGGCAACTCTGGTGGTAAGTAGCTAGTAGTATTTCACTGGCTTTGCTTAATGTGGTTCCTAGTAAACCAGATGCCATTTCTGGAGATAAACCAATTCCCTACCTCTCTTTGGGGATATTAAACATGCTACAAATTTGCACCGCAATTCAGAGGGCAAGAGAAAGGTGACGCTTGTTTATTTAAAACAGGGGGAGATGAGTTCATTTCAGGAAATTGTACATTAATGCTTTTTCATTAAAAGGATGCCTTCTCCTTTAGATTTAGATGACTATGACGAGACGGGTAGCATGACTGGCTCAGAGGCTGCAGCTCCCATTCATTGCCTTCTGTTTTTGCCAAGGCAGGCAGAAATTGAACGTCCCAGGCGAAGGTAGACGAATGTCACCGTGCACTTACCAAGTTCATTGTTTGACAGAATCGATAAGAGAATCGATAAGGAATCGAATAATTTCACAGAATCAATAAGGGAATCGGAATATCTTATCAATTCCCAACCCTAGTTTTGGTACAAAAGTCTGTTTTGGCCAATATTCCTACAGTCATCAGGATTTGTAGAACAACATCGCAAGCATGGAAGGAAGGAAGCAAGAAAGGAAGGAGATGGAACTGTGAGTCTTTTAGGATACCTCTCTACCAACCTCTAGATGCGAAATTTTTCTTCACATAGCAGCTCCAACTAAATCCAATTTGATGGAGAGCATCTATTGCAACTTTTCTTAATTTGTATTATTATTATTTGTATTAATATTATAATTGTTATATATTTTTTTATGCCTCAAATTATTTAGATTTAGGTCTGGATTTTGGTTTAGCCATTCTAACACACCTCTATTAAATTTTATTAACACTACCTCTCGCTGCATTGTCCTGCTGGAAGGTGAACATCCACCCAGTCTCAGGACTTTTGCAAACTTCCTACTATAGTCATTTTTTCTACATCACATCCAACTTCTGCCTTCCTCCATTTACGGTGTGGATGGTGTCTTCATCCAAACAACAGCTGTATTTACAATGAAAGTAAACTTCAAACTGATGGCCTCTGCTTACTGTTGATGTCAATCCGGTACAGTTTCCTTCACAAAATTGTACTTAGACATCATAGTGGGTAAACTCAGATGCACTTTCAGATTAGTAATTGCTGTAATAAAATTAAATAAAAAAAATTTATACATTTCTTTCTATTTTACAACTGTACATCCACCTTTTCTGTAAAGGTAAAATTTCAATAAAATACATCAGGGTTTAAGGTTTTCATTGAAAAAAAATGATGTGTGTTGTCTGAGTCTTTCAGTATTTCCTCAGGTCGAACAGAAGTCCCAGCAGCTCAGATGAGTATGATATCGACATCGGCGAGTTGGACGTATACAGTCAGGAAGAAAAAGGATTTGGTGAGAGTAAAGCATGTTTGTTTTGCACTCTTTTAACAACTGAGTGAGGAAGTGAGTGGTTTCGGATTCACAAGCTTCATAGCTTGTTTAAAAAATTTAAACTACAACTAAGAAGGTTCATTTATGATTACATTTGCTGCTTTCTGAAAACTAATAATTTACTTTGATTAGTCTACAAGAACAACCTGCTAAAAGAAAACTCCCTGATGAAGTCTCAGCCAAAAGCCATTGATCTTGACAGAGGTATGCTACTAACATCAAAAGTTATTCTGAATTATAACGCCCACCATTTTTTTTTCCTGAACTTTAGTCAATTGTTTGCTTTTGCCTTTCACAGAGATCCAGAAGTTTTCCAAGTAAGAAGGCGAGACAGAAGTGAAATCTGAGTCACTGGCGGGTCCAGAGGCTGCAATTGCTCCGGACCAAACACATCTGCATTACCTTTTGCCGTTACAAGAGAGGAAACCAGGGTGGACCTTCTTTAGTTAGCCTGGATCAGCTTTATTAGGAAGTTGTTGCAATGAAATTGCTAGTTTTACACAGAATTATGTTTTTCTTTAGCTGTTCCCAGCTGCGGTAAATACTGTGTAAATCAAGCTTTGGATGCATTGCAGAGAAAAAAATTAGACTAACTGAATGGTGAATAGGACTTGAAATATTAGTCTTATTTAACATTGCTTTTTGTTTTTAATTTTTTGCTTTGTTTTTTACTTCAGTAATCCTACGCTTTCTGGACTTAGTTCCGCTAAAGTGTCACACGTGCATGCTACCCAGAAGAACAGTGTTTTTCTAATATTTAGACTAAATTACAACAGTTTTATATCAAGATTCATTGAAAAGGGCAATTTTAAACTTAATTTTTGTTACTGGATGGTTAAACCATCTTTTTTTCTGACATCAAAACTTTCATTCTGTTTTCTAGTTGTTTGTAATGTTTATTCTCTCATATTAAGGAGTCTAGTGATGTAGGCCAAAAATCCAGTGTTGTGCTTCTTAGTGTTTTATGTAACAGTCATTTTCTTTTAGAAAAGTTGCACTAAAATTTTAGTTTTAGTTCATTCTTTTTCACTAGTGCTACATACCTAGTGTAGAAACAAGAGTACTACCCTATAATACAGTATCCATTCACAACAAATACAAACCTATAACTTAATTTTTTGAAAAACAATGTGCTTATACTTTTTCTTTGTGTTGTTTTCTGTTATCTAAAGTGAATACAGTGTGTACTGCTGCACCTTAACACCTATACAATAAAGGAATAAAAAGAAAAAGGATTTCACATTTGCTACCCCCATGTTTTTTTTTTCTAGAGGTGAAATCCAGACACAAATGAATCATTTAAAATTTCTCATGATCTTGGTGCTGATGACTGGCTTAATTGTTAATTCCATTCACCTGTCTAGTTCCACCCAGCTTTTCATCACTGCTCATCTGTGTCACCTGCTACAATCTATATTTAACCTGCCTGCTTCCAGTCATCACTGCCAGATTATTTGAGCCTGTGGTGAGACTTCTCCGGCATACCCGTTTGAGGTCTGATGCTGACCCGTTCTGCCTTTGGACCTCTGAGCCCACCTGTTCCCACTCTGATTCTTTTGTCTGACCTGTCTTTGGACTTCTGCTGAATTCTGCCGATTGACTGAACCTGGATCTGCTTCCTGACACCAACCTGGATTTCCCTTCGGTACCTCTTCTCTGATTTCTGAAGATCTCTGATCAGCTGGCTTTGACTCCTGTGAACCTTTTCGACACCAGCTTTGGCTTCGCATTCCCTTTCTTCGTCTGCTCTGATCCGTTTGTCATTCAGTTCTGTAGTCTTCGTGGCTTCAGCATATGGCACTCTGGGCAGCGTTCACCGTTTAGTGTTGGCAGCAATTTGACTTCAATCCACTGCTTCCTCTGGGCAGACCAGTTTTACATAAATTGATTTTTTATGTTGAAACATGAACTAATGACTGATGTAGATGAAAAACAATAGTTTTTTTTAAACAGAGAAATCATACAAAGGTGATCTACGTTCACTTTCACTCTTCTTTACTCTGATGACCCCAAAGAAAACACTTGCAGACATCCCAAGTCTCCCGGAAGTTCTGGGAGTCTCCCTGATATCGATAGTTGTTCACGGATGCCCGTGAGTCGGATAAATTATCCAGAATTTTACACTCTGCGCAGTGGTGTTTTTTGATGCGAGTGAGAGCGGGCGGGCAATAATTCATGCATCATGTGTGGATAGCTTGTCTACAAAAGAAGGACGGATATTTACTTTTACCATCACCTTTTTGGAAACACAGGAAGGAGCAATCAGCTAAGTGAGCTTAGTGCTTGGAAAAAATCTTTCATTCCTTTTGAGACAGCATGAAAAGTCTGCTGAGTACAAAACATAAGAGAGGACGACAACATTTTTCTTCTTCTTTTTGAAGTTTAATGGCGGATGGCAAACAATCTTCTGAAAAATCCGGACTTCGCTTTAAAACTCTCATGGCTGTCCTCAGGGCTTCCTTATCACCAGACTTGAAAGGTGAATTTCGTGCTCTGGCGGTCAGTAGGGATGAAATAGAACGAAAGTTACGACTGTAACTACGGTTCTATGTATCCCGGATGACCGCCAGAGCGCTCGGTCCCTCGGAATCATCGTGTTTTCGCGAGAAGATTAAGGGACTGAGCTGTCGCTGTCACGTGACTATAAAGGCACACCGGTGTCACCGGGGGTCACACGTGACTATGTTGGTATAAAATTCTCAACCTGTGCATGCGCAAGAGTGATCATTCGTGCTTTAAGCACCGCCTCTGGCGGTCATCCGGGATTCATAGAACCGTAGTTAAAGTCGTAACTTTCGTTCAATTCCAGAGAGGGTGCCTGAGAAACGGCTACCACATCCAAGGAAGGCAGCAGGCGCGCAAATTACCCACTTCCGACTTGGGGAGGTATTGAAAAAAAAATAACAATACAAGACTCTTTCAAGGCCCTGTAATTCTAATGAATACACTTTAAATCGTTTAATGAGGATCCATTGGAGGGCAAATCTGGTGCCAGCAGCCACAGTAGTACCTTAACCTCTTACACCCTAAGGGGGTGTAAATAAATTTCTGCCTGACAAAAACACACAAAAGTAAATCACTTATAGCCTCACAGCTATTAGATTTGAGAAGAAACTTTTGGTACCTCTGTAAGGTAAGATGTCATAGAATGGTTTTCTGGTGTCAGCACCATTGTAGCTTTGACCCTGCCTGAAATATTAGGGACAAAATACAAAATATTTTGCATTTTTTGAACCTCGCCAAAAAATTCTTTGTAATAAACATTGCAAAACACTACCAAAATATTATTTATAGCACAAAAAAAGTAGTACAGACTTTTAAATCTAAATGTTGTGTAAAAATATACCAAATTTGGACTCAATCAGATGAATCATATTTATTTTAGAATGGTATTAGTGAGAAATTTCTTAGGCGGAGAGGCCATTTTGGCACATTTATCCAAAAATGTCACCAAACTGTGCCAAATGTGTTTTTTTACATCAATACTGGGGGGTTGTTAAAATTACAAGGTCACGTAGCATCTGGACCCACCGGTGGGTCTGTAGGGTTCTAGGGGTTAAAGCTGCTGCAGTTAAAAAAGTCATAGTTGGATTTCGGGATTGAGCTGATGGTCCACCGCGCTTCTAATTTTTCCGTTTTCTGAACTGAGATCCATAAAAAAGAGCGACGGCCGGGGGCATTCGTATTGTGCCGAAAGAGGTGAAATTTTTTGGCCCGGAGCAAGACAGACAAAAGCGAAAGCATTTGCCAAGAACGTTTTCATTACTCAAGAACCAAAGTCGAGGTTCGAAGACGATCAGGTACCGTCGTAGTTCCAGCTATAAACGATGCCAACTACCGATACATGTGTTATGCCCATGACCCACCGGGCAGCATCCAGGAAACCAAAGTCTTTGGGTTCCGGGGGAGAATGGCTGCAAAGCTGACAATAAAGGCATTGAAGGAAGGGGACCAGCAGGGGTGGAGCCTGTGGCGTACCTTGACTCAACCCTAACCCTCACATTTTCTTTTTCAGTCGGCTGTGGCTAAGAATCAGATTTTTTGATAGCTTACAGTCTTTGCTTGTTCATTTTTCCAGCAGTTTTCAGAACTTCTGTCTGACTCAGAGTATATAGTTTAGAAAAGAAAAAAAAGGGAGGAATTTCTTGGCATTCATCTATCAACCAAAACTGCTAATTCCAGGGCACCCGCGCATAAGAATTATGAAAATATTAAGAGTATGTTTAAAAGTACCCTAGTGGGTCATATTTCAATCTGTTTTCTCATCAGCGTGCGAGAGGGGAGGTAATTCTCAGCAGGCAGGTATTTCTCAGCATAACTAACAAGACTGCAAGCACATTGTAGGCTATATTCAGGTTGCAGATCATATTATTTAAACTTTAAAACTTGTTTATGCAAATACACTGATTAAGCATTTCTGCACTGGTTCATAATTTTTATGCAGGTGAAGAAAACCAAGCAGAAGTAATATTGTTCTCTGCATTTCTGTAGGACACTTGTAATCACTTTATGTTTTGGGTTTTATAACACTGCTTGAGCTGTTTTCTTCATTTGGGTTGTTTTCAAAGGGGACCATGTGCACTGAGCCTGTCTACACTATTCACACTGTACCATCGGGTAAATAAACGCACCCAGAATCTGTAGTTTCCAAATAAATCACTGAACACAGACTAAATTTTCTTGAATCCTTTGCTCATAAAGTTACACATATATGCTGATTAAATGAATATATGGATCCTCATAATATACACACTGAATGGGCTTAGCTATTTAAAAAAATAATAATAATTGTAGTTATTATAAATTATCATTAATTATTATTTTTCTTTCTATCTAATTACATATAAGACATATTAATCAGGGGTTCCCACACATTTCAGCCTGTGAACCTCAAGAATAGCAGCCCAGCGGATTGAGAACCCATATAAATACACTGATTACCTTTACCTTTATCACGGCTGTACTTTAAAAATGAAAATGTCTTGAGAGCTGTACTGAACGAAATTTCTTTTTGTATACACTCTTTGCACAAAATGGTAATAAAGTCTGTCTCAGTCTAAGTCTCTTAGTCTAAGTGATTAAACCACAGCACTCCATATTAAATCTTAATTCAAAAAATCTTTCAACATTTATAATGACTTTTAGTAATTTAATTATTTCAAGTGTACCTTCAAGTAGTTAGTATGAAATGTAATTAATTGTGCATTTGGTATATTAAATATTACAGTCATGTATTAGACAAACACATTTGTTGCATGGGATGATATATTTTTGCCCTCCTTGTACCTTGAGGACCACATTCACTGTAAAAACCATTGATGGTTTAACTTTAATTTCTCTCCCTTAAAAAAATATATTTAAAAGAGCAGGAATTCTGTATTTGTTCTTGTTAATATTAGTATATTGATGTAAATAGTTAATTTCTGTAATTTACTCTCGGTAAAAGGTTAAAGTTCAAAAGAAAGTCTTATTGTAGCAAAATAGTACTAGATCAGAATATTCTTGTAGAGTTGGTTTGTTTTTTTAGGCATATTATTTTAGAAAGACTTGAATATTTAGTAGAAATTAAAGGAATAGCATTTGACTGGTTTAAATCTTATCTGTCTGACCACAGGGACCTCAGTGCTAGAAACTATTCAATATCTTATATGCTCGCAATCCAATGTTATGCTGATGATACTCAGCTATATCTGTATAAATCCAGATGAAGCTAACTCATTGCATAGACTTCAGGCTTGTCCGAAGACATAAAAACCTGGATGACTCTTAACTTTCTCCTTCTGAATGCAGACAAAACAGAAGTTATAGTCTTTGGACCAGAGTCTTTGAAAAAGAAGTTGATTAGCCAGTCACTTCATTTGGATGGGATTAAACTGATTTCAGATAATAAACTAAAAAATCTCATGTTATGGTGTTATTTTTGATCAGGACCTGTCATTTAAATTCCATATCAAAGAGGTTTCCAGAATTTCCTTCTTCATCTGCGGAATATTGTAAAAATGAGAAATCTCCTGTCCAGGGGTGATGCTGAGAAACTAGTCCATGCATTTGTTACTTCAAGGCTGGACTATTGTAATTCTTTACTATCAGGAAGTCCAAACTGTAGTTAAAAGCCTTCAGCTGATCCAAAATGCTGCAGCCAGAGTTCTGATGAAAATGAAAAAGAGAGATCATAACTCTTCTATCCTGGCTTCCCTTCATTGGCTTCCTATTAAATCCAGAATAGAATTTAAAATCCTCCTTCTCACATATAAAGCCCTAAATAACCAAGTTCCATCTTATATCAAAGTTATGCTTGTTCCTAATATCCCTACATGAACACTTCGCTCTCAACCTGCAGGTTTACAAGTGGTTCCTAGAATTGCTAAAAGTAGAATGGGAGGCAGATCTTTTAGTTATCAGGCTCCTCTCCTGTGGAACCAAGTACCATTTCTAGTCCGTGAGGCAGACACCCTGTCTACTTTTAAGGCTAGGCTGCTAGAGGCTTAGACTGCTTGAGAACTTAGGGACGCCTATTTCATCATTCTGCTTCATTCTATCTCTATACTCCCACCCCGAATAATTTTTTTACTTTAATCTCTAACGTTCTGCTCTCTCTGCTTTCTCTCATAGTAGCTTCTTCTGGTCTGTTCCTGTTTGGCTGTGACTCCATCCTGGAGAGAAATATCAGCTGTGCTGCTACCATTAACACCTTTTTCAGTGTAGTCTTGTTTCTCTGACAGTGACTGGCTGGATGTGCTTTCTTGAAACTCTGACATGGGAGCTGGAGCGGAGCTCATCTGCCTATCTGTGTGATTACTGGACGGGGCCGCCTATGAAGTTGGTTGACAGCTGGCTTTTGTATCTCTACTTCTTTCTGCATCTCTGCTTCTGTCTCCTTGAACCCCAGTCGGCCTCGGTAAATGGCCGCTCACACTGAGTCTGGTTCTGCTGGAGGTTTCTTCCTGTTCAAAGGGAGTTTTTCCTCTCCTCTGTCGCTACTAGCATGCTTGGTGTGAGGGATTGCTTTCTAGTCAATGAAATCAACTGGTTTTCATTAGATAGAAAACTGAATCAATTTGACCGTATGATCTGGTTGAATCGTAAAGTGTCTTGAGATGAAATGTGTTGTGAATTGGCACTATACAAATAAACTGAATTGAATTGTAGCACCAAACTACCCTAAAACATGCAAGCAGGTTACTTCTTTGACCATTATGGGTTTTTCTTTGGTTAAATTAGTGGTACCGGGTACTTGCAACCTTCTCAGAGAACAAACTGCTCTAACCACTAGCCTGAAATGGCAAACAGGAAACTTGGGGATACAAAAATAAGATTAAAGATAAAAAAAAAAAAAACAGAACAAAAGAACAAGCCCAGGAGCATTTCAGTTTAGGTCATTTATTCATTCTTGTGTCACAAACGGTCCCTGAATCCACGACAAATGGCTTTTTATACACATAGTATTTGTGTAAGTTTTTCTATAAAATACACAGTACTGGTATATACTTTTGTTCTAAAAATGATACAAACCCTGCTCTGTCTTGCACTGTTGGATGAGTGTTTCAAAAAGAAGTAGACGGTCAACGCATTCACAACCACAATCTCACTTCAGGACAAGAACATTCACAGAATTGGTAATTTTCCTTTCTGTTTTTATCACACAAATCACACGCAGTCCAAAATACACCTACGGGGTTCTTTTAGTTGGTAAAAGTGAAATCTGGTGCTGCTTAGTGCCTCTTCACAGCTGCACAAGGAGAGTATAAACAGGGTGATGATTGAGCAAGACGAGAAGCCCCTCATTTTCATTTGAAATGATCAACAGGTGGGCTGTCGTTTATTACTCAATATTACATTAGGATACGGAACAAAAGCACGATCTGGACCAGAGGAAACCAGTTAATAGACGATATGTAGGATTGGACCTGATTATAAGCAGCCAGGAGCAGCAAACATGTCCATTTGATTAAAAAGTACTTTCCTTGCGGGCCGTTCATAGTAGGTCCCCGCTATGTTGCTCAGGTGAGTCGATGTGGGTCATAAACTGTACATGTCCGTGTTTCCAGATCAGCGTTGTTTCAGTTAACGCTTCAGGCTTTCTTTGTCTTACAAAGTGCAAAGATCTTTTTACATACTGATCACCAGGTTGCTCAGCAAAGATCTGAAAAGTGATTACTGCGACATTAATCCCTCCAGGGGCATGGTGAACAGAGAAGAGGCCAGAAACGTGTCCCTCTCTGCTTTCCTCCGCTCTTTTAGTCCGTTGTCTGTACAAAAAGTGTTAGAGACCTCAGGATCCGTTCCTGTGGAGTGGTGAGGAGAGTTTTAAAGTTGTGGTTCGCTGTGAGCTGTTAGGGCATCGGCTGTGGTTCCAACCTTGTCCTGCTGGGGGCTTTCCAGAGTTGACAAACTCTCTGTGAGCATTGGGCGAGGGGAGCGGGCCAGGCCTGCCCCCGAGCTGCAGCTAACGCAACCCTGAGGGGCGACAGAAAGGCAGGTTTCACACAAATGAAGACAGGCAGGAAAAGAGGGGATTTATAGACACTCTATGCTCACATGTGTGTTTATTTCCTGTGGGATGGTGTGCTGTTTGATCCAAGGATGGACCTTAGCCAGCTCCTCTCTCTGCTCCTGGCTGAACCACGGCTGGAGCGGCTGAAGCACTTGGAGCTTTTCTCTGTCTTCCGCCAGCACCTCCATCTGGTCCCTGAAACATTAGGGTGGAAACAGGTCAAAGTTAAAAGATCTTTTGCTTACAGGTGCTCTGATTAGGCTTTTTCTGGCGGATACAGACCCCTTTTATTCTCTTCATCGACACTATACCCAGACACAGCCAATCGGAAAACCCCAAAACAGTAGTCAAGGAAAATGACGAACCATTGTAAAAAGAAAAGAGGCGAAACTTTTGGAAAACTGTTTTTTACTGAAAACAACAAGAAGCAACAATCCCAAATCATCTTTAAACTAGGGCTGCAACTAATGGTAATTTTGCTAATGATTAATCTCTTGATTAATTTTTCTATTAATCGAATTAAAAGGATCCATAAGAGAGATTTTTTTTTTACAGAATTAACCAGGTAAACTAAAACTTTTCCACTCGAGTACTCGGTAGAGCATACAGGTGCTGGTCATAAAATTAGAATATCATGAAAAAGTAGATTGATTTCAGTAATTCCATTTAAAAAGTGAAACTTGTATATTATATTCATACATTACATACAAACTCATATATTTCAGATGTTTATTTTGTTTAATTTTGATGATTACAAATGACAACAAATGAAAATCTCAAATTCATCATATCAGAAAATTAGAATATTGTGAAAAGGTTCAAAATTGATGGCCCCTGGTGCCACACTCTAATCAGCTAATTAACTCAAACCACCTGCAAAAGCCTTTAAATGGTCTTTCAGTCTAGTTCTATAGGCTACACAATCATGGGGAAGACTGCTGACTTGACAGTTGTCCAAAAGACGACCATCGACACCTTGCACAAGGAGGGCAAGACACAAAAGGTCATCGCTAAAGAGGCTGGCTGTTCACAGAGCTCAGTGTCCAAGCACATTAATAGAGAGGCGAAGGGAAGGAAAAGATGTGGTCGAAAAAAGTGTACAAGCAAGAGAGATAACCGCACCCTGGAGAGGATTGTGAAACAAAACCCATTCAAAAATGTGGGGGAGATTCACAAAGAGTGGACTGCAGCTGGAGTGAGTGCTTCAAGAACCACCACACACAGACGTATGAAAGACATGGGTTTCTGCTGTCGCATTCCTTGTGTCAAGCCACTCTTGAACCACAGACAGCGTCAGAAGCGTCTAAAGAGAAACAGGACTGGACTGCTGGTGAGTGGTCCAAAGTCATGTTCTCTGATGAAAGTAAATTTTGCATTTCCTTTGGAAATCAAGGTCCCAGAGTCTGGAGGAAAAGAAGAGAGGCACTTCATCCACGTTGCTTGAAGTCCAGTGTAAAGTTTCCACAGTCAGTGATGGTTTGGGGTGCCATGTCATCTGCTGGTGTTGGTCCATTGTGTTTTCTGAGGTCCAGGGTCAACGCAGCCATATACCAGGAAGTTTTAGAGCACTTCATGCTTCCTGCAGCTGACCAACTTTTTGGAGATGCAGATTTCATTTTCCAACAGGACTTGGCACCTGCACACAGTGCCAAAGCTACCAGTACCTGGTTGAAGGACCATGCTATCCCTGTTCTTAATTGGCCAGCAAACTCTCCTGACCTTAACCCCATAGAAAATCTATGGGATATTGTGAAGAAGAAGATGCAATACACCAGACCCAACAATTCAGAAGAGCTAAAAGCCACTATTAGAGCAACCTGGGCTATCATAACACCTGAGCAGTGCCACAGACTGATCGACTCCATGCCACGCCGCATTGCTGCAGTAATACAGGCCAAAGGAGGCCCAACTAAATACTGAGTGCTGTACATGCTCATACTTTTCATGTTCATACTTTTCAGTTGGCCAACATTTCTATAAATCCTTTGTTTTTATTGGTCTTCAGTAATATTCTAATTTTCTGATATGATGAATTTGAGATTTTCATTTGTTGTCATTTGTAATCATCAAAATTAAACAAAATAAACATCTGAAATATATGAGTTTGTATGTAATGTATGAATATAATATACAAGTTTCACTTTTTAAATGGAATTACTGAAATCAATCTACTTTTTCATGATATTCTAATTTTATGACCAGCACCTGTATTGACAGACAATTTCTTTTTTTTTTATCTTAAACAAAAAATATTCATATATTGTTTACAATTTTGGTATAATTACTGCTCTAAGTCGGTTGCTCTGTCAGCTTAAAGGTGGGGTATGTGACGTTTTCTGGAGCATGTTTTTACCATACTGATTGAAAACCTCCTCACGAGCCCATTGCGCCAACTGAGATAGAATGTTTGGAAAAAAAACGAAATCTTTTAGTCCAGTGTAGAGGGCGTAGTCAGAGGAAAACGCTAACCAATAGAAGTAACTATCATCCCTACTTCTACTGGTTGCTGGCACGCCCATCAACCGTCAGCTCTGAGCTCTCCCCACCCCTCCCCCCTGCGCGTTCACAGACTCGTGACCCCCCCCCACCCCCCCCAAGTGCCGGCGCAGGGGGGGTGGGCTACCTAGCTACCTAGCTATCAAGCCCAACTCCACAGATTTATCTCACACAGCCAGAGAGAATATTGACTATGGCAGAAAAGACGACAACAACGGGTTCGAAAAGAAAAGGCAAAACTGTGCTTGAAAAAGCAACAGCTAGGATAAAAGCAACAGAAGAACGAAACAGGACGAGAGTGGTAATCGGTACAGCTTTCCAACGTTGGCGTCAACTGAAAGAAGACAGGGGACTACAGACGGATGCTAAGGTGGCCTTGTTTCTACTCGATAGGTAAGACAACGTTATGTTTTCTTATATGTTGAGATAATACTTGGTTACTTCTTATTTACCACATTAGTGAGAAAGTCAAAGATGTCGACTACATGCAATGTCCCAGCATGTTTCTCTAGCTTACTAGCTCCGTCTGAAATATTGATTGCTATCATGGCACTATAAAGTATTATCCTCCTTGACGCTGCATTCCTGTCCAATCCATGCTTATAAACATTTTGTAAGATACGCGAGGTCTCGGCCTGTTTCGTTCTCGTTCTCGGGAACATCCGAACATTCTCGACTGACAGCAGGCGCGTTCATGTAATTTGGAGGCGTGGTTTCGTGGGGTGGGCTGAAGGTGTGTATTTTCAAAAATGTAGCTGGCAGGAACCGTTTATCCAGGATCATATACCCCACCTTTAAGGTATGTTTTAGAGTCCCTATGCTCCAGATAATGACCCCTAGCGAAAAAACACTTAGCCACAGTGAAAGCCAATATGAAAAAAAGTTTATGTCAAGCCCTGGCTACATAGAAATTGTGTATTAGTGTTAATGTGGCTCATGTCTACCTTGTGCGTATCTGGTAGGTCATCATAACCCGCTCCGGCGTGTGTTGGATCATGTTCCACAGGGAGTTCTCCACCCGAGTATCAAAGCTCTGGCCGTGCTCCACCGCTGCCTCCTGGCTCTTACGAGTTTTGCGGGAGGTGTTTGACGAGTCGTTGCTTGCAAAGTACTTGCTGCTGTTGCTGCTGCCTGTAAACAGATTTTTTTTCCCCCTTCACTGAAGCTCAAGAAAACCTTCCAGATCCTTATCCTGCTTAACATCAGTTGGTGATTTGAGGAGTTAATTAAATGGACATCTAGCAGGAATCGGTCACAGAGCATCCATAGAACTACAATGATAATCATTATTCACAAATGGAGATGAAACAAAAACATAATTAAGAACCAAAAGAGAAAGAAGAGAATTTGGTACCAGTGTGTGAGGTGGGCGTTTCATTGGAGCCGGATCCAGAACCCAGTGACCCTCCAGATTCCCCTGATCCAGATCCTGAAGCGTTGGATCCAGTTCCTGACCTCGCATCCTCCTGCAGGAGCAAGTCCAGCAGCTCACTGCATGTTGACTGGGCATCCTGATTTCCAGACTCACTCGGAGCATCGCCCTGAACAAAGCAAAGATTTTTTTTTTTATTATTTCTACATCCATCATCTTATAAAAGGGGGGATGGGTTAACCGTTGTCATTTAAGTCATGAGCTAAAAACGATTTCAAGCTGACCTCGGTTGGGTGTTGCTCATGGAGACTCTCAGAGTGGTTGTTTCCGGTGCTGCTCTGCCCCTCACTGGGTTTGGGGAGTTCTTCTTGCAGGAGGTTGAGCTGCAGAGGAGAGCTGGAGCGGGAGCTTGAGAACAAAGCCTGAGGTCCGGCCGTGTCCTCCTCCTCCCCAACAGAGGAGCTGGCCTTCTGTGAGCAGAGAAGGAGACCCGGTGAAGTATGGGTGGGAGGGCAGGTCTGGACCTGGAAGGTCTGAGTGGGGGGGCCGGTCTGGACCTGGAAGGTCTGAGTGGGGGGGCCGGTCTGGACCTGGAAGGCCTGAGTGGGAGGGATTGCCTGCACCTGGAATTGAGGCTGAGGGAAGGGCGCACTGACAGGAGCGTAGCCTGTCATGTTGAATCCTTGAGGTACGGCGGAGGGAACGGACGGAAAACCTGAGGTTAAAGTGGGATAACTAGGAAGGATGACGGCCATGACAGGCGCCACGTATGGGTTAAAGCTCTGGGCCTGAGCTAGCGGGAGTGGGCTGTAAAAGTTCTGGACATTCTGCAGAGGCTCCACCTGAAGCGGTAGTATGGCCGGTTGGGTCTGAGCAGACGGCATGACGTTGAAGTTGTAGCCGAGCTGCTCAGGAGGCGGAAAGGCTGCAGGAGCGGCTGCAGGCAGCCCTGCTCCAGGATTCTCCAGGACGGGAAAGAGTGGAGCCGAGATGGGGGTCGTTAGGCTGAGCGTCTCTGCTGTCTGAGGCTGTGAGGACTCTGAGGAGGGCCATGAGGAGTCAGGAACAGGGCAGCGGGGGCCATCCAGGGAAGCATAGCTGGCTGAGGATCCCTGGGGTTTTGGTCGCTTGTGTCTGGCTTTTGCTCTTCGAGAGCGATTCCAGCCTCCAGCACTCATTGGGCGCAGATAGTCTCCTGTGATAAAAGAGTGACCCCCAAAAAAAAATGTCTATTAGAACTGCCCCTTTCCCAACAAAAGATCCTCATGAATTCAACAATAATTCATCTATGGAGAGAAAAATGGAGGGACAACCCAGCGGATAGCTGATGACCAAAAGTAAAATGCAGGAAATTTTTTTCCATTTATGTTACAAACAACATGTTCCTTATAGTCATAGGGAAACGGCCGTTCCAACGGATGCATGTCCGAATTCTCCTGAGTGGTACACGACTTTATACAAGTAAATAAATAAAGTAAATTAGTCTTATTTTTTATTTCAACCTTTGCGTATATTAGCTGCGACATATGAATCAATACTTTGATTGACAGACGACCGTTGATATATGATCGGCTGAGTTTAGGTGTACAAGCTGAGGTATAACTAACTGGCCTGCATAAAATAATTGAGAAAAAAAACAAACAGATTTTAAGACAGGATTTTTTTTTAAATAGAGATTTTTTGAAATTTGTGACAATATCGTTTGATAAAAAGTACATTAATATACATGTTTAAGCCAGAATGATTTGACATTAAAATATGATTTCCCTATGATTTAAAGCTACAGTGTGTAACTTTTAGCGACATCTAGCGGTCAGACTGCAGACTGCAGCAACATGAACATCTCCCCCCCACCGCTTCTCCCCCCCCAACAGTACGTCGAGCGCTACGGGACAAAATGTCTTCCACGACGTCCGCATCACCTACCTTCTCAAGTGATGAGGTTTGTTTACATAGATAATTTTACAGATAGTATTTCATTAGTCTGTATATGGTATAGATTTCATGTAGACTTAAGATAATAAATATACCCGTTATTTTTTCTACATCGTTGTGACGTTTTGGCGATCTCGCAATCGCTAGTTTGTTGGCTCTGCGCTGCCGTAGCGCAAAGATGTCTGCCTCCATGGCTGCGAGACCCGCTCCTATGTAATTATAAATAACGAATTCTAAGGCAACGCAAATATTAAGGTTAAGAGGCTGAGCTCGTAGATGATGATAAATAACATAGTTATGTATAATATATTACATTTCTGACTGTATATCCCTGTAATTATTACACACTGTAGCTTTAATGGAAAATTAAAATCCAGAAATTAAACTTAATAAAAAAAGGGGCTTTGAGACCAGCTTTTCTGTTTCCTTAAGACTACATAAAAACATATTTAATACAATCCACATATGGTCCATTCTTTAGTTTCTTTGATCCAAAATGAAATGAAATTAGTACTTTCTTTAATTTAATTTTAATACCAAAAAATAAATAACACATTTCGTTTTGTTTTGTTGAAACAGGAAAAAAATAAAGAATGAATCATCCCTTTTTCTTTATTAAATAGTTTTTTCAAGTTAATTTTTCAGATGGCGTTTCACAGAACGCATGCTCTTAAAGTTCTATTTCATCCCTACTGACCGCCAGAGGGCGGTGCTGAAAGCACTGAATGAACCCTTCGGGCATGCGCAGTTCGAGTAATTATACCAACAGAGTCACACCTGTGACACCGGATGACCACTCAGAAGCTATATAGCCTGGTGTCATCCTTTGCTCTGCTCCTTTTTTCTTCTCGCAAGCGGTTCGCTAACTTCCCCGTTGTCTGAAGCCCCTGTCTCTTGACCGGAGTTGCGGTTATTCTCCGCCCTCCCAGGGCTGCAACGGGTCGATTCTGAAGATTACGGAAGGTAAGTGAGTTGTTTGCTGGTGATGGTAGCGTCCGCGCCCCCTCTCCCGGCTCACGACTTTAGCTTTTTACCTACAGCTTCGTGCTGTTTTGTTCCGAACTGGTGACAGCAGCGTTTTCGCCCCTACTCCCAGTGTGAATAACTTCACTGCCGAAGTTATATACGGCTAACGTAGTTAGCTTCTTTAGTTTGTTGGTGTTATACCTGGTGACGGCAGCGGTTTTCGCCCCCTCTCCCAGTATATTCCCTACTTTTGCATCCTTTTTTTCACCGGTCTGCGCTGCTATAATTACTGACGGCCGCGGTTTTCGCCCCCTCTCCCAACCAAGTGTGGTCTACTTCGTTGCCGAAGTTGGAGACGGCTAACGTTGTTAGCCTTTTTTGGTTTGTTTGCAGCCTTCTTCATCGGTCTGCTTAATTATAAATGGTGACGGCAGCGTTTTCGCCCCCTCTCCCAATATCAACCTTTTTTTGCAGCCTTTTCGTTGGTCTGCTCTCTTAATTGGTGACGGCAGCGTTTATCGCTCCTACTCCCTACTTAAGTTGCCATACAGCTAACGTTGTTAGCTTTTTTTGTTTATTGCTTTTATACCTGGTGACGGTAGCGGTTCTCGCCCCCTCTCCCGGTATCGGCCGCCTTGTGTCCGCAGCCTCTCTTGTTTTATCCGCTATAATTGGTGACGGCAGCGTTGTTCGCTCCTACTTCCAACTTAGGTTTCCATACAGCTAACGTTGTTAGCTTTTTTGGTTTATTGGTTTTATACCTGGTGACGGTAGCGGTTCTCGCCCCCTCTCCCAGTATCGGCTGCCTTGTGCTCGCAGCCTCTTTCGTTTCTCTGCTGTAATTGGTGACGGCTGCGTTTGCGCCCCCTCTCCCGATTTTCGATAACTTTCTGTTCTTTAAGCCTTGTCGGCCTTCGACATGGATGGCTCTCACAGCTGCATAGATTGTGGGGCTGCCCTGCAGGCAGAGGATGGCCACGACCTGTGCCCTACCTGCCTTGGACATGAGCACCTTTTGGAGGCGCTGTCTGAGAACCCCTGTATGAACTGCAGCTTTATGCCCCATGCAGTGAGGGTGGCCCGGTTGGCCCAGTTGAGAGGCCGGTGACGGTTCCATGCGGGAGGTCATGTCTATGGCCCTGAAGCAGCTGCAGCTGGAACTCCCACAAGGAGAGGCATCCAGCTCTGGCAGTGCTTTTTTCAGACGTGGAAGGGCTCCTACTCCTTTTTCTGTACCTCCATCAGAGGAGTACCTGAAGGAGTTACACGCCTGTTGGCGAGAACCGAGAGCGCTGTCGCGTCTCTCCTCGGATGGTCGTGTATTAGCTGCCATGCATGAGTCAGTGAAGGCCGGCCTGGACCGTATGCCAGCAATTGAACCAGCTGTTGCTTCACTGATTGTGTCACCAGATGAAGCCCTGCGTCCTGATGTCCGGTGCCCGCGGACTCAATGTCGGGTTACAGATGACCTCCTCTGTAAGGCGTACAATGCAGGAGCGCGTGCTGGCCGCCTTGGCAATTCCCTGGCGCACCTCATGTTTGCCCTGTCTGCATCTGTTCAGGACACTGGTGGTGCAAGTGCGGCGATTGGTTATAGTGACGCAGCGCTGCAGGCCTTCGCGCTGATGACCAGAGAGCTTGGACGGGTCATGTCTTTCCTTGTCCAAGCTCGTAGACAGGTCTGGTTGGCACAGTCTCCTCTGACTGAAGCATGCCGTAGGACCCTCAGGGGTGTCCCGGTTGTACCAGGGGAGCTGTTTGGATCAGCTGCCTTGGAGGCGCTGGAACGGACTGCTCAGGCACGTCAGACTAGCCAGCAGCTTTCCGGCCTTCGCAGGAGCATACCTGCCTTTCCCCAGCGTTCGGGCCGCCCTGCCACTACCCCCAGCGTTCAGCCACGACCTCAGACTGGTGGCAGACCTGTTGGTTCCTATCCCCATGATGTGCGGCAGAGACCGAGAAGGGACTTTCGTGAGCCAGTCTGCCGCCCTGTTAGACAGACCCGGGCCTCAAATCCTGGACGCCCTCCCCCCAGAGCCCCCAGGGGCCGTGGGGATAGAAGATGATGCCACCGGGCCAGCCGTCGGACATTTTTCCCATCAGCAGCTGAATTTCTGGGCTGCTCATGCCGTAGATCCATGGGTGGTTGCCACCTTAACCAATGGCTACAGGCTCCAGTTCCGACGGCGGCCCCCCCTCTCACACCGGGTCAAGATGACTGTCATCACAGACCCGGTGAAATCTCAGGCACTAGACCAGGAGCTTTCCGCCCTCCTGGGCAAGGGGGCAATCGAGTCTGTAGATCCTCTGCAGCAACCCAGAGGCTACTACTCCACATACTTCCTTGTGGCCAAGAAGACCGGCGGTTTTCGCCCCATTTTAGATCTAAGGGGACTGAATCGGTACCTGAAGGTCCTTCCCTTCCACATGCTCACCATAACAGAGGTCCTTCAGACCATTGTGGCGGGAGATTGGTTTACATCAGTAGATCTGACAGACGCCTACTTTCACGTGCCTATTGCGGCAGAACATCGCCGTTTTCTCAGGTTCGCCTATCGGGGGCGCCATTGGCAATTCCGGGTGCTCCCATTCGGGCTCTCCCTTTCCCCGAGGGTGTTTACTCGATGCGTGAAAGCAGCCCTCTCTCCTCTACAGGCCTCCGGAGTCAGGATTCTGCCATACCTGGACGATTGGCTTCTTTGTGCTCCCTCTCAGGTAGCTGCCTCTCGGGATACGTCCCAGCTTCTACTTCATGTGTCAATGTTAGGCCTCAAAGTCAACTTGGCAAAGAGTTGTCTGGTTCCATCTCAGACAACCACCTTTCTTGGGATGCATCTGGACTCTGCTACCATGATGGCCCGTCCATCTGTTCACAGGGTGGACGACATACTCCAGCTTGTCCGTCGATTCAGACTGGGCAGGGAGTTTCCCTACATCACCTTCCTGCGAATGCTGGGCAAACTGACATCAGTCACTCGTGTCGTGCCCTTAGGGCTGCTCCTTCTGCGTCCTTTGCAGCGATGGCTCAACAGCTTTCGCCTAGACGCCAGGCTGCACAGGCATCGCAGGCTAATGGTGACCAGGAGCTGCCTCCATGCCCTAGCTCCTTGGCGAGACGGGACCCTTTTGTCCAGTGGTGTTCCAATGGGGCTAGTAGTGTGTCGAAGGGAGGTGGTCACCACGGATGCCAGCCTCATGGGCTGGGGTGCCGTGTGGCAACACAGAGCTGTTCGGGGTCTCTGGGACCCAAGGGAGCGCACCGAACACATAAATGTGCTGGAGCTGCGGGCTGTGCACATGGCCCTCAGGTGCCTTCTGCCCCACCTAGAGGGAAGGAACGTGCTGATTCGGACAGACAACACCTCTGTTGTTTATCATATAAACCACCAAGGTGGCACCAGGTCAGCACGTCTCTTGAAGGTGTCGAGGGATCTCCTGGAATGGGCGTATCCCCGTCTGTGTACCCTGCGCGCAGCGTATCTGCCAGGACGGCAGAACCAGGTTGCGGACTCTCTATCCCGCCAGGCACCTGCTCCGGGAGAGTGGTCTCTTCACCCCGACGTAGTGCGCATAATCTGGAACCTCTTTGGGCAGGCAGAGGTAGATCTGTTCGCCACAGAGGAGTCGACCCATTGCCCCCTATGGTATTCCCTAACCGGGATGGCGGGCGCACTGGGCCAGGATGCACTGGCTCATCCATGGCCGCAGGTTCTCCTGTATGCCTTTCCACCCCTCTCACTGGTTTGGCCGACTCTACGGAGGGTTCTCGAGCAGGGCCACAGAGTGTTGCTGGTAGCTCCGTTCTGGCCAGCGCGGCCGTGGTTCCCGCTGCTTTGGAGTCTGTGTCACGGTACTCCATGGCGTCTTCCAGCAAGGAGGGATCTGCTGTCTCAGTTGGGGGGACAGATATGGCACCCCAACCCTCAACGTCTCCAGCTGTGGGCATGGCCCCTGGGAGGCTGACTGGGTGTTCAGACACCGTGAGACACACCGTATTGAGTGCTAGGGCTTCCTCCACTCGGCTGCAGTATGCTAACAGATGGCGCCTCTTTTCTCAGTGGTGCTCTGCCCACAATGAGAACCCGCTTTCCTGCTCGGTGCCCACTATTTTGGAGTTCCTCCAGTCTCTCCTTGATAAGGGCCGCTCTCCTTCGACCCTTAAAGTGTATGTTGCAGCAATTTCATGTCTTCACCGAACTGTTGACAACCGTACAGTGGGGCGCCATGAACTGGTTTCACTTTTTCTGCGTGGTGCTCGTAGGTTGTGCCAGCGGCCAGCCCCACGAGCCCCAGATTGGGATCTGCCATTGGTTCTCACAGCTCTGTGCCACCCTCCATTCGAGCCTTTGGCACAAGCAGAACTCAAGTGGCTTTCCTGCAAGGCTGCTTTCCTGATGGCTATCGTCTCAGCTAAGAGGGTCAGCGAGCTACATGCTCTTTCTGTCAGCCCTAGGTGTATCAGGTGGAATCCAGATGGCTCTGGTGTTACCCTGTGGCCTAATACTGCGTTTGTGCCTAAGGTGTTGTCTCCTTTTCACCGTAACCAGCCATTGCGGCTCGCTCGGTTTCAGCCTCAATCTGGTACAACTGAGAATGAGTCGGAGTTGTTGTGCCCAGTAAGAGCGTTGGAGGCATACATTGCAGCCACCGCCAATCTGAGACGCTCGGACCAGCTTTTCCTATGCTATGGGGGTCCAAGGTTAGGCTGTCCTCTTTCTAAACAGCGTCTGTCCCATTGGATTGTGAGTGTCATCTGCCACGCCTACGCTGCAGGTCACTGCTCCCTGCCAGTCGGTGTGAGAGCACATTCCACCAGGAGCGTCACCGCTTCCTGGGCTGCTTTGAGAGGGGTTCCGCTGGAAGCTATATGTGCTGCTGCTTCATGGGCTTCCCCAACCACCTTCACCAGGTTCTACAGTGTCAATGTGGCTGCCCCTCATCCCCTGGGTCAGGTCCTTTTACAAGGTTCTGCTGGGCCTCCTCTGTGAGGTATGTGCTCAGGATTCCTTGTGACATCGTTGGCATTAGTCATTCAGTGCTTTCAGCACCGCCCTCTGGCGGTCAGTAGGGATGAAATAGAACGAAAGTTACGTATGTAACTACGGTTCTATGAATCCCGGATGACCGCCAGAGCTTCTCTGTCACTCAGAATCCTTGCTTTTGCGAGAAGATTCTGTAGGAGCAGAGCAAAGGATGACACCAGGCTATATAGCTTCTGAGTGGTCATCCGGTGTCACAGGTGTGACTCTGTTGGTATAATTACTCGAACTGCGCATGCCCGAAGGGAACATTCAGTGCTTTCAGCACCGCCCTCTGGCGGTCATCCGGGATTCATAGAACCGTAGTTACATACGTAACTTTCGTTTTACTATTAGTCTGTATGGACATTGGCAACCTCATTTTTATTGGGTAAGAGAAAGCTTTGAAATGGCCTTGAAGGGAAGAGAATGTGATGAGTAATTAGAAAATATAAAAACTGTTCAAAAAAATGGTAAAAAAAAAAACCGATGAAAACGTCTAAAAGTAAAAATATAAAGATTAACCTTTACTTTTTGATAGATAAAAGAATTGAAGTTAAAAAGCAGATACTTTTCTACGCCTCTAGAGAGCAGAGAAGAACCCAAACATACCTGGTTGGTGAGAATAAGCCATTGAACTGTTTTCCTGCAGTAAATAGGAGCTGTAGGGACTCTGAAGGATGCGGTGGCGGAAGCGATCAACATATTCCTGCTCCTCTTTCTGCGTGTGAGCAGACAGCACCTCCTTGGTGAGCCCTACCAACCTCCTCTCCTCCGTAGAGGGGCTGGGAGTTGGACGGACAGGGGTCGCGGCGGTGTCGGCTGGCTCGCTGCTCATCTGGGCGTCCTCCGGAGCTGTGGCCTCTGCAAGAAAAATGGGAAAAAAGAAGTTAGCCTTTTCCTCCTGTTCAAAAATAACCAAAAACTAATGAGATTATCAAAGCTTTGTGACCTTTAAATGTACCATACGCAGGTTACCTCTGTAAATAACCGAGAAGTTTTATTTCAAATCAATTCAACAAATGATCAAATCAACACAAAAGTTCCAAAAGAAAAAGGGAGCAGCTTCCGTGAGTCGATTCACTGAAGCAAATTGGTCTATACCTGACTCAGGCTGTGGTACATGGACGATGGTGCTGCTGTACGAACACTGGCTAGTGACCGAGACAACACTCATGGCCTTAGAGGACATGGTGATGTCTGTCAGAGGTGCCCCGACAACTGCTGCAGCTGTAGGGCCTACTGACACCTCACTGTCCAACTCAACCACTGGAAAGTGAGGTGAAAATATGTTAAAAGAGGCTGAACGTCGGTTACAGTCAAACACAAAGACTTAAGTAAAGAGTGCTTTTACCTTCTGGAGCGTTCGGAGCCCCTCCTGTGGGCTTCTCTTCTTCTGATGTAGAAGACGAGGAGGAGGTGGTGTCCAGCGAGGGGGATTGGTTTTTTCGCTTTAGGACTTGACCTGCACAGCCCTCCAAGTATCTGTCAAACAAAAAGCAGAGTCGGTGGTTAAAACGAAGACGTAATTCTTAGAAAGTGGGTTCTGGAGGAAGAAATCTGAGAGAGCAGACCTGATTATATTGTCCACGCAGTTGATCTGCTGATAGGAGGGACTGTGTGTCTGCTTCCTGCTTTCTTCATTTCCTCTGACTTTAGGGTTGGAGGAAGTGTAGATGTGCAGAAAGAAAAGGTCAAGAAATTAAGCCTCAAATAAAAAGTCTTTTTCTAAACAGTTCTAAAGTGACTTTGCCAAATGAACAAGACAAGAATATCTCCATTGTCTTATTTCAACTGCATTTTATCTAATTATCTTATTTCAAGAGTAAAAATACAAATTCCATTGACAAATCATTTTATTTATCTGCTCAAATTTAGGGTAAATACACTTAATTTAAGAAGTTTTTACTTATTTCTGGATCGTTTTTTGCAGTGTAGGTACAATTTGAGTCAGTTTGGGTGTATTTAATCAAAAATCAAGTTAATACGTTAATCTGTCAAGAGTCAACAATATACATACATTCTAACTAATATTAGGACATTTTACGAGTAAGCACACACTTTTTGTAGCATTTAGACAACTTCTGGCATCACACTGGCTGGATATCTGACCACTCCTCCAGGCTGAAATTATAGCGTTCATTTTAATTAGTTGGTTTCCTGACGCACAATTTCAGCTATTTAACAAGTTTTTACACCTCAAATTTATCTCAAGTGTCACGGCACACATCATGTAGTTAACTAATTATTTTACCGCATTGTTAACGACACTGCAGCAAAACATACATCTAAAAGAAAATAAAATCTTTTAAAATAATTATTTTGCCTTTCATATGAGCAAGTAAAACAATCTGCCAACGAAATGAGTAAAAAAGATAATTACATCTTCTTTACTTGAAGATAATATAGATGTTTTTTTATATTTTAAAGGAAAAGTCCGGTCATATTCAGAATGGAAACTTTTGAAAGTACTTTAGGTATGAGATAATTACATACTTTTCAATAAATACATTTTTTTTTTAAATCAAGAGTAATTTTCATTTTAATGTGCTTTACTGGAGGCATCCATGTTTGTCAAAGAACACTACTGCCACCTACTGGTTTGTGACGTGACGGTATCGGCTGTTAAGCAAGTCCCAGTGCTGTATCTAGTGTTTGTCACTACGAGCTATTATCCATGATGACCACAACCAGAGCACTATATGAAGCAGAGAGTAACGGATAAATGACGTGTTTTTTTTCTCCTTTGGCTAGAAGTTCAATGGCCTGCCGCTTCAAGTTGGATTGCCAACGAACCCATCCGTGGAAGATTAGGAATCGGAAAGGTGAAATAACTCTTTTCTTTTTCACTTTTACCCGATGTATTCTAACATCCAACTGCCATGCACGTGGGCATTGTCAGTTTCATTATAGCTCTGGTGAATTTCAATGGTGAAGTCCTCTAGAAATCTTCAATAATTGTTGTTGATTGCAGATGTGTCAAGTAGTTCCCATTGATTTTGCTCGTAAAGAGGGAAGAATGGAGCTAGGCTTACCGCACCGTAACTGCTACCATGCTGCAAGATGGTAGCAGTGAGCTGTTACCATATTTGGGTAAAAATGGCCACTCCCAGTCTAAGTAACCACGATGTTATATTTTTTATTGATTAACACTAGATATATTAAATCACAGCGAACGTTTTACTTTTAGGTATAGATAATGATCCATTGATTATTCCTTGCTGACTGGGCTTTTCCTTTAAAAGTCTTATTCCATTCACAGATCATTTACTTCCAAACTTATAAAGGCAGGATATCTTTTCCTATTTTACACCTTCTGGGAAGTTGTCTAAACACTTTTTCTAAATGTTACAAACGTATTAAGGCCTTGTTCTGGCCACCTATAACACTCTTGACTAGAAATCTCACAGTAGTTCACAGAGTGCATTAGAAAGCCTTAATGCATGTTTAACCCATGGCATTTAGTAATGACTGCTGCCTCACCTGCATTAAGTCTCCCAGGGGGAACATTTCTTTGGCTAGAATCCAGAAACGAATGTCGGCCCCAACATTTCGCTTTGTTCACGTCTGCACAGATCTGCTGCAAAGTCATCTGGGAGTTGTATGCAAAAACCATACGGACAGTATCAGCATCAACAATTGGAGCCAATGTGTTTATTGTCTATGATGACTCACAGGTTCCCGGTTTGAATCCTCCCACAGATTCCCATTGCTATCACTGGAAGAAGCAAAGCTGACGTAGTGCTCGTGAGAGACGTTACTTCCCAAACTGCCATAACCGCTGGAGCCATTGTTGTGCACCGGCTGTGGACAAGATAAAACAAGCCGATTAAGTGGTGGACCTTTCAATAATTCTTTTCTAATACTTTCTAATAAATTCACTACTAAAATTACCTGTAGGAAAAGCTTATAGATCTTTGCTTGAAGGTCTTTTATTTCCTCATAAGCGACAGGAACGTAGTCCTTCCTCCGAGCTGCAAACACATCCTCGTTCAGGGGACTCCTGTGATGACAACAGCAAGACCAAATGATCTCCTGATCAAACCATTAAATGAAATGACAGAAAAATCTAACATCGCCACCACTTACGTCCGGACTTTGTGCCGTCCGATGATAAAGGCCACTTTCCGACTCCAAGGGTTGATAAAACTGGACCAGCTGGTGTCCAAGGTGATGAAGTCTCCATTCTGACAACGCAGACGCACTGGAGAGTGCTCAAACGGAGCCTGGCCTGCATACTTTAATACTTTTTAAAGCGTAAAAAAACAGAAAGGCATAAAAAAATAAAAATAAAAAAACTGCATTCATATGATAGGTAATGTAAAGAGAAGGCCAACTGTTATTTACTAGTTATAAAAGCAATATTTTAAAAAGGCCAATGGAGTGATGTCTTAAAAGCCAAACAGAAATTCAGTTTAGATCTTTAATATTTCTGATCTTTTCTTCCAATTAATTATATTTTAATTTTAGATTTTATATAAAGGCTGCTTTAAATTCTCACTTTGCCTGTGCATCGACAGCATGAGGGGTCGGTCCTCTGGGTGGATAAAAGTCAGCAGCGACGTGCCGATTAGGTCCTGAGGCATGTATCCCAGCAAAGGCACGGCCCTGAGGATATTCACAAGTCATTAGTTCACTGCAAGTATTTTAAAAAAATCTTATCATTTTGTCATGGCACATTGCTGTATGCAAGCTCACCTGTCATCAACTTCCAAGAAAACGCAGCCAGGAGAGTGTGTTGTAGTGAAGATGCGTTTGTCCATGGGGATACGAGGTGCTGCGTAAACAAACACATTTCAAATTAGCACAATGAAATAAATTGGTGAATCAGACAGAAACATGGTGTTCTAACCAGAAATGAGTGATAATAGAAGTTTTATGAATAACTTAAACAAGTCAATGTTGTTAGTTAACCTATTTGCAGCATGAATTTGCTGTACCTTCATATCCGGAAATAATTCGCTCTGCTAATGCCAGGCAGCACGGCTCCTCTTCTCCACTCCCCGTTCCTTGGACCTTTAGCAGGTAAGGTGTGATTCTAAAAGGATTGTAGCGCATCTCACCTTCGCGATCTTTGCTTCCCCTAAAACAACACACAAAATTTCTTTTTTATTTAATCACCAAACAAATATATACTAAAACTATTACTATAATAGTATAACATTACTATACTTTTATCCACTGATATAAACCAAAATAAATGGACAACTACCTTTATCATTACAGCCATTCTGCAGATTCAAGATGGACCCCTCAACTGCTGGTGATTTTACATCAGCTTCAGTGTAATATAGCTGTAGTACTTATATTACAGCATTACAGACCTGACAACATCCAATTAACATGAGGTAGAACAAAACATTTAACTTGGGTTTTATTTTCCTGGAGAAAACTTTGGATAATAAGTGGAGAAAAACATCTACAATACTTTTCCAAAAGGTGAATTCTGGTTGAGTGGACTTTCGATTTGGATTTGTGTATGCATGCACGTCAGGATTTGATCCAGTCCCCTGACTTTAACCTGTAATGTAATGCCTTTGGTTTTGTTTGAAATGCAAATATATGATATATATATATATAAGCTATATAATATATATAAGCTGAAATGTTTATGTTCATAACTTTAACCACCAACTCAAACTTAAAGTGGCTGTCAGGTGAGTTTCCTCCACTGGAAGAAACAATAAATGTCAGCTCATTAAATGTGTAATTTTTCATGAGATCTGAAAAAAATGCAACTTAAAACTAGCTTGATTAAAAGCATTAAAACTAAAGTATTTCTGAAAGTTATAATAATACGTTCTAATTTATTTGGTTAAAAAACATGAAAGGAAAAGACCAACCTTATCCTGCAGAAGAAGGACTTGACCTGGGCACTGTCAAACAGAACCCCAGCTGTGAAGACAGACAAAGGGAGAGTTTTTGTAGTTTGGTTCTATGGTGTGATTCAGATCATGGAGAGTTAAGGGCTGGTTATCCTCCCACAGCTGTGTGTTGCAGTGAGCTTGTTGCAGAGGTTTTTGATTAATGCCCAATTTTGAAACAATACATCATAATTTTTTGTACTCTCTTCCTTTCATTATGCTTATATTTTAAAAGTAAACGGCATTAGAAAACCTTTCAGAGACATAAACAGGTATGGGACATTGCAGGCTAACAAAGAAACCAAACGGCTCCCATTCCAGATGAGTGGACCCGTTTGTCCATTCCACTTTGCATGTTTCCCAAGCAAAAACAAGGCTTTGTTGGGCTACTGTTTGTTCTGTCGGAGCTGCTTAGACCCCCAAATACCCGCGGCAGCCTCTGGCCGGGTTGCCTCCTCGCGGTTCACCGCGACAGCTGGTAGGTGTTTTTCATCTAAATACCGTATTTTCACGACCATAAGGCGCAACGTACTAAAAGGCGCAGTCTCAGTTATGTGTGCCATTACTGTATTTAACACACACATAAGGCGCACCGGATTATAGGGCACGGGTTTTATATACAGCTACATGTCCTCTACTACGTTTAAATACCTCTACTGCGTATTTAAAAATAGAGCGGGAGCAAAACTGAGTATGTTTGTGCTTTATTCATGTATATATTACAAAGTATTAATCAAACTCATCAAAGTCCTCATCCTCTGTTTCTGAATTAAACAGCTGCACTAAATCAGACATGCCAATTTCCCCTTCTCCACTGTCAGAGTCACTTTCCGTGCCGCTCGCAGCCTTACTTTGAACGGCCGTTTCACACCGATGTCGAGCGGTTGAAGTTCCTTTGTCAGACCTCCCGGAATAACAGCAAGCACAGCGTTCATTTGTTTCACCTTTTTTTTTTCCACATCGGCTGTGAGATGGGCACGCATGGAGTCACAGATTAAAAGCGATGGTGATGCGTGGAAAAAAACACATGGTCTCTCTACATACACTTCCCTCAGCCACGCTTTGATCATCTCCTCATCCATCCAGCCTTTTTCATTTGCCTTAATAACGACTCCAGCTGGAAAAGTCTCTTTAGGCAAAGTGGCAGCCAAGCACAACAGTAAACGACGCCTTTTCATACCCCGTTGTGTGTATCGCTACCGTGCTGGTCCCCTTCTTCTTCACCGTGTGATTCACCGGGATGTCGAAAGTGAGCGGCACCTCGTCCATATTGGTGATGTGGCTTGGCTGGATGCGTTTGTCGGCGATGTGTTTGCTGCAGTAGGAGTGGAAGCTCGCCAGCTTCTCATTATAATCCGCCGGACGTTGCTGAGCTACTTTAGTCCTGGTCCGGATGGAAAAACTGCACTCATAGGCATGTCTCTTTGCCATTTTTAGGGTTGTTAAGACAACAATGTTCTGCATAGAGCACATGTCTGTTCTTTTATACACAGTGCACGCCCACACTTCCCCCTTTAACGTTCTTATGGCTGTCTCAACAACGTCCGCAGTAACACATAGGGCGAACCGCACTAGGGCGCGGCGCACATTTTGAGGGGGAAAAAAGAAGTTTATATGCGCCTTATAGTCGTGAAAATATACATACTTTACAAACATATTCTGCCGGCAGATTTCTGCATTTTAAGTTAATTCATGCGTCAATAAACTGTTTCAGAGGAGTGATCACAGCTCTCTGTGTCATCAGCGATGTGTCTGTATAACGGCCAGCTCCCAGGTTTGATTAATACTTTGTAATAAATACATAAATAAAGCACAAACATACTTAGTTTTGCTCCCGATCTATTTTTAAATATGCAGTAGAGGTATTTAAAGTAGTAGAGGACATGTACTGGTATATAAAACCCGTGCCCTATAGTCCGGTGCGCCTAATGTGTGTTAAGTTAAGTAATGGCAAACATAACTGAGACTGTGCCTTTTAGTACGGTGCACCTTATGGTCGTGAAAATACGGTAGTTACTTTCCTAAAAACCTAACTTATCTCTAAATTCTCTCTACTCCAAATGTCATAAAAGAGGAAAAGTATCTGTTTCCCAGATCTGCTAAAAGGTGTATCCTGAGCTTTCCGTCCTCTAAAAGCATTATTTAAGCAGTGCCTGTGAGCTCTTAATAGGATTTAAGTCATGTGAATAAGAGGTTGAGGTCATTACACAGTCATGGTTAAGGACTTTAATGGCTTCCTGTGATGCTGTAGTGTGTTCTAGAAACTTCTAACACGTAAACTGTTCAACCTGTTGGGGCCTCAGTCCTTCACAGGAGTCTCTGTCTCCCTTTTTAAGAAAACACAGTGAACCCATTCATAAACCTTTAGAAATAGATGCTTGCAGTCGTGAAAAGAAGTGAGTTGCAGATTTATTAACATTTTACACGCATCCAAGTAACAAAAAACACCTATGTGAGGTACATGCTAATATGGTGAGAGTTAACGTGGTATTTTCTAGCCTTTATCTATGGAAATCTTCTCCAATAAAAAAAAGACAATTTGGCTGATATTGCATTAAAATAAGACATTTAAAGTTTTTTTATTTAGCCAGACAAATATGTCACCTAAAATTTACCAAATGAAATATTTAGAAAAAGGAATAGTAAACAATTAAATAACTTTACATTAACTAAGTGCCACAAGGGTAAATATAAGTCAAAGTTTAGATCAGAATAAAGTAAAAGCAGCAAGATGAAAATTTTTTAAAGACCAACCTGAGTGCGAGTTGCTCCAGGGTGGCAAGTGTGGCTGAGCCGTGTGCGAGTAGAAGACATTGACGTCTTGGTGAAAGAGCAGCTCGACAAACTTGGCAGACTCCAGGTACTTCCTCTTGCAGCACAGCAGGCTGGGAGCCTGCTCCGACGTGTACAACACGCGGCCGCTCGACAGAGAGAAAACCATCAGGAAGGAGTCCTGCACAGACACGGAGATCAGCAAGGACTGGTACCAAAGAGACAATCAGACCTGAACCAAGTCAGAGACACAGACCTGCAGTTAAAGCAGATATACAGTCGCTCCCAAAAGCATAAAAAGCCCTTGAACGTTTGTTTTCTTAGTTTAATCAAACAGAAAACATAGAAGCTGGATCATGCTGTGGGGGAGATGATGGGAAGATGAATAAAGCTGAATAAATCTAAAACAACATTACTGATTCATGGTTTTCAAAATATCATACAATACATATATGAGAACTGGTGTGCCTCTTTAGAATATAATAGAATAGAAAATCCCTTTATTGTCCCACGATTGAGAAATTCTGGTAATTTGAGGCAACTGCTTAAAAACAACAACAAAAAAACTAAACAGATTTAGCTTAATATAGAACTCCTGACTTTGGGGTTTGGATATTTCACACACTTAAATATTTCATTGATTTTGATAAAAAGCTCAAGCTGGGTGGCTACGGGTAGTCTGTGAACATCTATATTTAAGTTCTGCCACAGATTCTCAATTAAATTTGTCCTAAAACCATGAACAGCCATTCAGACACATTATGTTCTGATCTAAATCCTCCTGTTGTATCCTGGCTGTTTGTTTACAGTTTCTCACTAGAAGATCAACCTCTGCCCTATCGTTTACCATCCCCTTGCATTCAGCTCCATTTATATTCTTCCCCCAAGCATGATTCTACCACCGCCATGTGATGCATCACAATGTGGTGGTCAATCACATAAAATCCCAATGAATCCATATAGAAAACCTTCAACAACACATTGAAAATCCCCACTCAGCTTTGGAACATGTTAAATTAACACAAGAATGTTTGCTCACAGGTTCAGAACCACTACAAAACAATCCAAATGCTTGGTAGGCAAAGGTGAGAAAGATAAGGAGTGACATCTTCCACCTGTTTTGCAGCTACATGCACATGTGAGGCCATACCGTGTTTTTAAGGTTGTGCTCAGAGGTGACCCTCTCCAGCTCCTCCAAGGTGCAAACCGTGTCATCTTTTCTCTGATTCTGCCCATTTTGCATCAGCAGTTTGTAGTATTCGCTGTTGGCTATAGATGGTAACGCACAAACACAGCTTCAGAAAGCGCTAACAGGTTGTTGTGGTTTTATGCTGATGTGTGCCTGCTTAAAAAGGTTACCTTGTACTTGCTTCACACAGTTGAGGGCGTAATTTAAGGCCTCCACAGTACTGGCTTTGCTGTGGCTCCGCTTGTCTGACGGTATCCTCTTCTTCATCTCAGCCACCGTGCTCATCATTTCTCTGTGGGCGAGTCCTTTTTCCCTAACAGCCAACTCCCTGCTGAAGAAACAACGTTTAGATTCAGTAAGGAACTACAAATAGATATTAGACGTCTATTTCAGTGATGACACTTGTATTTAAGCTCAAAGAAAAACACCCGTTACAATCTATAATGATACGATGTTTAGTGAATGATCGCCCTACTTTAAGTTCGCCATTTAAACAGGTGAACCTTCAATATAGGAATGATGCAGCTCACCTATGAACTACACAGAAAATATGCAGCCATTAAACATAAATACAAGCATTTACATTCAACGACGTGTGGACAGCCTATCAGAGTAGGGACCTGGGAAAGGACCAGCAGGAATTTTGGGTTTGGGGCTCAATGGTTTTTACCAGCGCAAGAGGGGTAGGACAAAAAAATAGATTAAACTCTGCAATTGCTGCCGAAAAATAGAAAATAAACCATGCAGAACCATCATCAAGCTTAGACATTTAACCTTGTTATTGCCTGTGTATAGAAACTTGACCCCAGTGCCTTAGTAGTGGCTTAAAGGAACTTTAATTGGATGTTTGGCTTGGCAAACAATCACCACTACATATATACACATTTATATACACACATATATACACTAGGGATGGAACGATTTATGAAAACCGTCAGAATCGTTCGGTTCGACTGTCTCGGTTCGCGTGTGTTTCGTTCGGTTCATGCGCTGCTCCTTTTTCTCATAGAGGAAGCGATTACACTCCAGAGCAGAAGGTGGCAGTGCTGCGACCAAAGCCAACCGCCAGTAGTAAACAAGAAGAAGAAGAAGCGAAGCAGCTTAGCCGGGTGTAGCAGGGGAAAAAAATCAGTTGTTGTGGAGAATTGTGTCGGACTTGCGAGTGGGAAAGAACAGGAGTTGGAAGACGCGCCAGCAGCACTTTATAGGTCTGCTGTATGGGAGCGCTTTGCATTTAGAGTGACCTACGATGACGGCGGAAAGAAAGTTGTGGATAAAAGTGCAACAGTGTGCAAGCATTGTGCAACACGTTTTGTTTATGCTAACAGCAACATGTCATGCTAACCCCGAAATCCCTCATACTCCGTCAGCAACCCCCGCTGCGCTCCAGACCGGCTGCTCAAAGCAAATCCTACAGCCTCCACTGTGGCTTCGTCTGCTCCCCTCTGAGTCCCTTGGAGATGCGCGAGATGATTAAATTCAAAGCAGCAAAACATACGGAAATTATCCAGGGTTTCTGCGGACCATTTAAAATAATTACAATCCATAATTTTTTGGGGGATTTTTTCATTAATTTTATAAATTTTTATGGGATTTCGGTGTAACAATCAACATGTATCGAATTGAACCAAAAACCGTGACCAGAAACCGTGAATCGAACCGAACCGTGGATTTTGTGAACCGTTCCACCCCTAATATACACACATACATATACATATATATATATATATATATATATACACACACTCACCGGCCACTTTATTAGGTACACCTGTCCAACTGCTCGTTAACACTTAATTTCTAAGCAGCCAATCACATGGCGGCAACTCAGTGCATTTAGGAATGTAGACATGGTCAAGACAATCTCCTGCAGTTCAAACAGAGCATCAGTATGGGGAAGAAAGGTGATTTGAGTGACTTTGAACGTGGCATGATTGTTGGTGCCAGAAGGGCTGGTCTGAGTATTTCAGAAACTGCTGATCTACTGGGATTTTCACGCACAACCATCTCTAGGGTTTACAGAGAATGGTCCGAAAAAGAAAAAACATCCAGTGGGCGGCAGTTCTCTGGGCGGAAATGCCTTGTTGATGCCAGAGGTCAGAGGAGAATGGCCAGACTGGTTCGAGCTGATAGAAGGGCAACAGTGACTCAAATAACCACCCATTAATACCAAGGTGGGCAGAAGAGCATCTCTGAACGCACAGTACGTCGAACTTTGAGGCAGATGGGCTACAGCAGCAGAAGACCACACCGGGTGCCACTCCTTTCAGCTAAGAACAGGAAACTGAGGCTACAATTTGCACAAGCCCATCGAAATTGGACAATAGAAGATTGGAAAAACGTTGCCTGGTCTGATGAGTCTCGATTTTTGCTGCGACATTCGGATGGTAGGGTCAGAATTTGGCGTCTACAACATGAAAGCATGGATCCATCCTGCCTTGTATCAACGGTTCAGGCTGGTGGTGGTGGTGTCATGGTGTGGGGAATATTTTCTTGGCACTCTTTGGGCCCCTTGGTACCAATTGAGCATCGTTGCAACGCCACAGCCTACCTGAGTATTGTTGCTGACCATGTCCATCCCTTTATGACCACAATGTACCCAACTTCTGATGGCTACTTTCAGCAGGATAATGTGCCATGTCATAAAGCTGGAATCATCTCAGGCTGGTTTCTTGAACATGACAATGAGTTCACTTTACTCAAATGGCCTCCAGTCACCAGATCTCAATCCAATAGATCTTTGGGATGTGGTTGAACGGGAGATTCGAATCATGGATGTGCAGCCGACAAATCTGCGGCAACTGTGTGATGCCATCATGTCAATATGGACCAAACTCCCTGAGGAATGCTTCCAGCACCTTGTTGAATCTATGCCACCAAGAATTGAGGCAGTTCTGAAGGCAAAAGGGGGTCCAACCCGTTACTAGCATGGGGTACCTAATAAAGTGGCCGGTGAGTGTATATATATATATATATATATATATATATATATATATATATATATATATATATATATATTCAGTTCAGTTAAAATTACTGTATTAATCCCAAAGGGAAATTACAAGTTGCAGTAACTCATTGTTTTTTGTTTAACCAGATATAGGTGTTGATAGTTGTAGGCAGGAAGGATCATCTGCAGCCGTCTGTCTCGCACATTTTAGCAATTGCACACATCAGATCAACTACTGGTCTCTATGCAGGGCTGACCTAAGGCATAAGTGAACTAAGCGACTGCTCTGCTCCTAAAAACAATGAATTGTTTGGGGCTTCTTTTTGCATGAATAATAATTTCTATATAGACCTAGTAACAACATCACACCATCTCGTGATAAAACGGAAATTTTTTATTTATTTAATCATGTCAAAACCAGGGATGTAAACTGCTAATTCACTTACGATAAATTGATATTAATTATTCACTAGATTAAAACGTATTTCTTCTAATGACAACGTTGGCTTTCTGTGTTGTAATGTTACTGCCGTCCACTTGAAGGCGCTGTTGTTCATTAGCTCACTGCTATTTGCAATAAAATGCCAGATTGGAGTCCTGCTAGAGCAGAAAATGAATCATTCCAGAATCTGGTCTGAGAGTATTTACACTCTGGTGGCAAGAAGGGTGCAGAAAAACTTAATGGAGTTCTGTCTGTTTAAAATAAAGTTATCATCTAAATGGCGGTCATTCGACCACCTGTTGAAAGGTTGTTTCTGGCAGTGCAAACTCTCTTCCAGTGCTGAATCCTAAATTACACTAAAAAACACAGAGCAACGTAACAATTACACTTCAACTCACTGAAAGAAAGTGGCAAAAAGTATGACAGTGTGTTAAAGTGACATACCCAGTCTTTAAATTATGGTTTTATGTCTGTTTTATATTGGAAATAATTTTTTCTCATTCCATAACTTAACAGGTTCCTGTTTGTTATACCTTCTAAATATGTCTAGTTTAATATGGTTTAAGCAAATGTTATTTATTCTCTGAGACTTTGAAGAACAAAGATAGGTTTAAAACTTTTTTTTTTAAATAAAATTTGATGCATTTATTTCTTTATCAAAGCTGCTTCATTTGTTTGTTGTTGGTCTTGCACTACAGGTTATTTTTGCGAAGTGTTTTTGTAGTTGGAACCAAAAAGTTTAAACCACTACACTTTTACCGAGAATAAACTGCATACACTGCAAAAAGCATATCTAGTAGCATATCTATCTATAAGTAAAAAGGTCTTAACTTAAGTGTATTTACCCTTGATTTGATATTTCCGAGAATAAACTGCATACACTGCAAAAAGCATATCTAGTAGCATATCTATCTATAAGTAAAAAGGTCTTAACTTAAGTTTATTTACCCTTGATTTGATAAGGTAAATAAGATGATTTGCCAATGGAATGAGGATTTCTTTACTCTTAAAATAAAATTATTATTTCAAGTGTATATAACCTAATATACACTTGAAATAATAATAATAATATATATTTTATTTTTATTTTAAATGTATATTGTCTTGTTTCTTTAGCAAAGTGTCTCACCTCAATTCAAGAAAAAAGGCACTTATTTTAAGAACAAATGACTTGTCTAGATTTCGTTTTTTTCCCCAGTGTACTGTTTTTTCCTTCTATAACTTTTAATAACCCTAAAAGGTGCATACAAACAGAAGACTTTAAACAGCACTGCTGAAGCTGCAGTCTATAGTAGTTGTGTGAATGATCTGATCATTGGACTGCTGGCTGCAGAAATGTATATTACTGACAGAAGAAGAGGACCCGATGGCTGTATACATTGGCTGTATTCATTAACAACGGTCATCAAAACATTTCATTTAAAACATTAAATGACTCAAAATACGAACATAATAACAAATATGGCTTCCCTGCCCCCAGTGTAATCATCAATTGTAGAATGAGAGTGAAAATAGCATCAAAAGTAAATCCAAATCCAAATGAAGAGTTGTTTTGATCAGATCTGACCTTCTTGGCTTTTATTGTGTGAGCTGAGCTCCTCTGAGCTTCGCACCACAGCGGAGGATAGTGAAATATAGACATTGTAAATTAGTATGGCGAGGACGTTAGCTCCAGAGCTAAACACAGTGTAAGTCCGATAGGGTTGTTGCTTAATAGTGCGAGTACATTTTTATGTGTTGTGTCTATTTTTGGAAATCTTTGGTAAAAGATTTCATTCGGTTTTCTTTGACCTTAAATTAGCCTTTAACATTGAATCCCAATCGTAAGAACAGTACATATGCTAAAAAGCCAATTTGACTATTTGAAGTCAAATTAAAAGTAGAACCAGTACAGATGAAAAGAGGTGATTACCTCTTAGTAGACGGTGAAGGGCATCCTCTTGCACTTTCAGGGCTTTCATTGACCAAGGAGGAAAGCTCATTGGAGGCTCCAATCATCTCCTCATCCTCCTGCCCCACTTCTCCAGTCACAGCTCCTTGTCTGTCGGCCGTGAGCCGCTGCGGCGGCGGCGCCTGTTCATCCTGATGCCCTGATCTAACCCCGTCTTCCCCTTCTTCGCCCTCTGTGGTGCCCGATGGAAATGCTGGCTCTTCCCCATCTTGACCCCTGTCCCCTCCAGACATCACCGCGTTCTGATCATACATTAACAGCATACTGTCCAGTTTATGTTGTAACGAAGTGTCTTCATGTGTTTAGAGGGAATGGATTCCATGTGGTGAGGCTGAATGAACAATATTTCTGGTGAGAGCCGAATCTGGGATGTAAACGATCTCCAGCACTGCAAGATAAAAAGACAGAAGAGACTGTAGGATGTATACCAGAAGAAACAATTAGACTTACTTTGTGGAACAACTACAACCTGCATGACAGGTCCTAACATTCATGGACTGAATGAATTCTACTTTTTTTTTTTTTTTTTTTACTATTGTGATGAGAATTTAATTTATTGTAGACTTAGACAACTTTTATTGTCATTTTGTATACAAAGTGTAGACAAAACGAAATTTCGTTAAGTACAGCTTTTCAGACAGTAAATTAACATCTTTATTCCATTAAGTGAATCTGTGATTAATGTAAACAGTGTGGGAGAAAAAACATGGTGCAACAAAATGCATTGATATGGAAGTTCACAGCATTATTAGATATGCAGTATTTTTGGTTTGGTGTTTTCAGTGTGATGCAGAGTCTGTGAATTGATCTAGAGATAACAAGGTAACAAAGATAAATTCCTATTATTGATCCGATTTAGCCAAAAAAATTTCATTTCAGATTTTAATCGGCCATCATCTATCATCCATGGCGGCGCTCCAAGGCAGTGGCCAAGAACAGCTCCTAGATTTCACAAAATATGCCACTTAAAACGATACAAACTAGACATCAAACCCGTAGCTATGATCGCCAGCGCCTGCTGGAGCTACGGTCGCAAAATGCTTTAACTACTGACATTTTTTACCGTTTTAAAAAGCTGCGGAGTGCTACGGACGGATGTCAACCAAACAACAGCGGAAAATAGCGGACGGAGGAAGAGATGCGAAAGACGGAGAAAGAGGCTGGATAGGGCAGCTAACTGACAAGCTAAAGAGAGATCTCAGCAGACAACCGCTTCAATCAATCCTGCTCTCCGACGTCCACTCATTGGAAAACAAAATGGATCATCTCCGACTCAAACTCTCTTCAAAAAAGGAGATAAGTAACTGCTGCGCCATCATTCTGACAGTCTTGGCTGCGTCCAGGAGTACCGGACAGTGCTATTGGTCTGGGGGGGCTGATGTTATACCGCACAGATAGAAACAAAGAGCTCTGCGTGAATGGAAACTTCTCTGAGACTGTTCCCAGGCAATCTTAGGCATCTAGAGGTGAAGCACAGCCCTTTGCAGTGAAAACGAGGAGAGCACTCTAGATGCTTCCCTGCCAAATGCTGAAACATCCCCAGCCGGCTCCTCCCAGCTCCTTCCGGCCCCCACAACTTCTCCAGCATCACTGCCAAACCTGCCGATGGCACCACTGCTGCTTCAACCAAATCACCCTCTTCATCCCAGGGGGCTCACCACCACCCTCACCGCATTGTCCTCTTCCTCCCCTGAGCCGGGAGAAGCGAGCTTCAGGAGCTGGAGGCAGTAGTGCCAGCTCAACAACTGCTGCTTGTCTAATCAAGGATGCTGTCTAAAGAGCTGTTCTAAACGAAATAACTTTTTGTTTACACTTGTGTAAACGAAATAACTTTTTGTTTACACAAGTGTAAACAAAAAGTGATCTGATATTTTCATGCCAATAGAAACACTCTACTTCTACTAAAGTTTCTGTAACTCATTAGTTGATTTTCCACGAGTCATTTGCTTTAACCTCTTTGTTGTTGACTTTCGTTCCCTGTTTTACTAATATTACTTTATCAAGCTGGTATGATTTGTGCTAATATCTTACCTGGTCAACATTGGTACCAGTAAATCCTCAAAGCTGCAATATCGGTATCATATCAGAAATTAAAAAGTTGTATCAGGACACCCCTAAAAACTACTACAACTTGAATGACACCTCTGTCATGACCTGGGAGGGTCTGTATGGCTTTCACCACGACTAAGCAACTTTGAGGAGGGTGCTAGTAAACACAGCCACATAAAACCAGTACAAACATACAAACTGCTTTGCGGCATATATCACTTCCCCATTTGTAATAAAGACGGAAGTTGATGCAATTAACTTTCCCTGAGAGACTGTACATTTGTGCAAATTTGGACTTGAACAGAAATGTTTCCCTATACTTCAAGTTCAGTTGGATCAGATTAGAAAAACTATTTTCAAATCATGGCACAATTTCTCAATTGGATTTAAAATAGGTCTTTACTGTGACCTAAAACATGACTGCGTCTTGATCCAAACCATTCCACAATAACTTTGACTGTAGGTTGAGGTAGGCCTTTATCCATGGTTGTAAGTCTTTTGCACCCTCTAACGTGTTTTCTTCAAGGTTCACCCTATGTTTAGTTCCATTAATCTTCCCCTCAGGGTTTACATGCTTATTTTAGTGCGCACTGTTTTTACTCATAATTTTCCAAATCTTAACCTCTAAGATTTTAAGTGAAATGCCCCCAAAATTCCACATTACAAGTCAGAAAGGCAAGGCAACAGGACCATACTGGTCTCTAAAGTCATACCGTAGTTTCCATCTTTTCCCTTAATAGTTGTAAAATGTCCCAATTTTCAGTGTTTCATTAGATGTTTATTATATACATAACAGGAGACAAGATCTTTAAACATGATTTATGTGAACAAAATACATCAATTTGTCATTTTTGGGGGTTCCAGCAGTGGCCATTTATGAACTGTAGAGAAAACGGGCATTCAGAAGCAGAAACAGGAAAGCCATTCAGATTTCTGAGGTCAATGGAATTGGCATGGCATCAGTTTCTACTGATAATAGTGGTTATATCAGGATAATGTGCAGTGTGACTTTTCTCATCTTTTTTGTTTTTTCGCATATAGGCCTTTGGATAAGTTTGGCATTTATTAAAGAGAATGTATAAGTTTTTAATCTAAACAAATAATACATATTATAAGTTGGTTATTAAATGTTTATTTATGAGGATACACAGTACTGGTTTGTGATCACTTATTGCATAATGTGCCACATTATGACATTATTACTTTTTTAAAAAGAAGAACGGCAGCATGTTTTCAACTACCACAAAATGTAATAATGTTGTAATATCAATTCATGGATAAGATAAAATGTTATGGTGATTATTACATTGAGTGAAGTTTTGTTACATTTTAAAACCTAAACATATTAAATTGTTATGTAATGGTGTATCATGGGCAATAAAGTTTGAATCCCATCTGTAAAAACAAAAAATAAAAAAAAGAGGAAGAAATCTCTGCATCTTAACATTTATTATTCTCTTTTTGGTCTTTTCCAACTGTGATGTAAGCACAGTAAACATGTCAGGTTTTATTTATAAAACATTTGAAATCTTGTGTCATTTTTTATATTGACATTAAAACCATATACTATATGTTTGCGGCCGTAAATGTTGAAAAATATGACGCATTTTAATAATGATGACAACTTTTGAACAAGAAAATGTACTAATTTGTGCAGGAAAATTCCTCTCAGATTAGACAGACAACCTGTAGCAAAAATCTCCTTATTTAGCCCTCCTCTGGATGAGCTCTTTTGGCTTTCTAGCCATGGCTGGCCACACCCCCTCAACCGCAACCATGACAGCCAGTCAGAATTCATAAATATAGCAGCTAGGGTCCAAAACAACAAAACAACCAGTAAAAGTCCAGAGACATTTTTAATTATAATCTATTACTTTAAACTGAATTTAACACTGAAATAAAATTAGGTGTTTTTGCATCCATGTTATACATTGACTTTTTAAATTAACAAAAACTGCATGCTTTGTCACACTCTGTCACAACAAGAAAACAGGAGCAATGTTTTGGATTTGGACTTGATTATGTTCCTTTATCAGGGTTCGTACACGTTTTCCAAAGTCAAAATCAAGCACTTTTCAAGCACTTTCAATATCCATTTTAAAACTTTTTTTCCAGCACCTTACACCACCGTAAATTACATACCAATACATAGTCAAAATTATTACTCGGATGATCAAAGAAAATTACTCCTCTGCCATGGCGTAGTAATATAACCAACCAGAGGGTGTCGCAATTCAGTATTATCAGCTGTAGAGTTATCAATATGCTGTCTTAAGATCTGGGCCTGGCAATGAATTAAAACGTCGTTTTTTTTGTTGTTGTTTTTTTTTTTGGAACGTTGGCGAGGCGGTAGCGTGAGTTTGGCGAGGCGACAATAGTGCAAGATAGTGCTGCGGGAAACACTTCAGTTGGCTTACTTAAAAAGTCTATGACTTACTCTTCATGTGACTCGAGAGCGCAGACTCGCCCATTGTGAAAAGCTGCACATCTTTTTTGCAGACTTTACAAGAGGCAACTCGTGGGGTTTGTCCCCGTTTAATCCATAATTTGTATTTTTCATCTTCCAGCCAACGTTCATTGAAACGACAACCTCCCGGCATGGTGCAGTAGTGGTTTCATGGGGGCAGAGTCACACATGGAAATAGACTGGCAGATCGCAGTCACACATAAACACACGATTCAGTTAGATAGGTATTTGTTGCGAAAGAAATAGTTACAATTTCAAGCATTTTCAAGCATTTCATCCAAAATATAAGCACTTTTCAAACCTCGAAAACACAACGTCAAAATCCAAGCATTTTCAAGGATTTCCAGCACCCGTACGGACCCTGCTTTATGCTTTAGAACCAGGTTTTGCAAAACCAATATACAAAAAATAAGTGTGGGGTGTGTGTTTGTGTGGGTCAGTAGGGGTATTGCTGTCAGGGTTTCCATTAAGTCATTAAATTATTATTTTTTAAATCAAGGACTTAATTGGCACTGAAATTAATTAAACGGAATTATCATGACCTTTACAATGCTTTTCGTCAGATATATTTTATCAGATCTGGGGATCATTAAAGTCACATTCGGAACTAACAATTTGCAATATTAGCCATAATGTGATGTGAATGGGAAAACTTTCTATTCAGAGCTCTGTACCTGCTCAACAAACAAAGCTTACCAATAAAATTACATAATTACATTATGTCATGCAATTGTCCACATAAACTACAAATAATAACTGTATTCAACCATAGACCTAAACATATCAGTAAAGGCTGGGAGATTAACTCTATTTAAACTCAATTACGATCTGGGTTTTTCATAATAAAAATGAAACGATTTATTATTTTACTC